CCGGGGGGGTGAGGGGGGGTTTAGGGTTATTATGAGGGTTTCGTGGTGTAGAGGAGTTTGGATTTTGCGGGTCTCCGGGGTTTCTTAGGGTTTAGGGTTTAGGGTTTGTGGGTTTAGGGGGAAAATGTTTGCTTTTTGCTTTTATGAATAGTACCTAGTACTAATCTATGTTGTGTATCTGTGTTATAATATAAAATGTATTTATACTCTTATTTATTTATTTTGTTATTATTATTTATAGGGGTTTAGAGTTATTACATCAATTAAATACGTCGAGAGAAGAAGACTTCCAACTCGCTAAACTTAAATTAGATGATTGGAGAAAAGCTCTTTATTCTAAAGTACCCAACAGCTACAGGTAGTGTGGTGTATATGCAGCTACATGCATGCATGCATGCATGCATGCATGTATAAGTTCATGTACATCAAATTGACTGCAGCCACATGTATATATATACACGCAATTGCATGCAAATGCAGCAGGGGTAGCACGGTGCAGTCTTTGCCCATACGTATTTAATATGTATGCATGTATATATATCCATGTTTCCCTCTCCTACGCCTACCCGTCCTACTCCAAAACCTATAAATTCCTCTTTCTTTTTCTTTTGCTGCTGCTGCTGTTGCTGTTGCTGCTGTTGCTGCTGTTGCTGCTGCTGCAGAGTTCGTGGTGCTCCATTACAATATAATACATTAGACTCGAAATGGATATCGGATTCAATTATTCATCAAGTAGAATTTTTAGAGTCAAGAGATAGAAGTGCATCTTTCTCTATTGCTACTTGTACATATAATTTACCAGGAGAATTATGTAGTACTTATATTTATCTACTTCTTTGTCAGAAAGTAACAGAAAGAGAAAGAAGAAGACTTCTTGCTGCTAAAGAACAGGTAAATAATAAATATATTATGTATTAACATGTTTATTTCTTATATTAAGTGTCTGTCTCCTACATACGAGTGCTGTCCGTCTCCTTTGCAAGCGTTGGAAGTTTCTCCTTCTTTTGCTGCTGTCTCCCCTGTACCTTAGGAGGGAAGAGAAAAGGGACAACGCCGAGCTCGAGCAAAGCGTCTTAATTATAACAAACAAAGGAGACAGCCAAGTACGATACTGATAAGGGTTTAGGGTCCTTAGAAGAATGCCCCGTCCACGAGTATAAGGGTTTAGGGTTTAGAAGGTTAGGAGGTAAACCCCTTCTGCTCAAGCAATGTTTTAGGGTTTAGGGTTTAGGGTTTAGTGTGTTTGTTGCAGGGAAGATATCATCAGAAGTAGAGGAGGGAGGAGAGATGGAGGGGGCTGTAGGAGAGGATAGGGAGTTGGGGGTTGCTGGTGGTGCAACAGGAGAGGAGGGTAAGGAGGAGACAGGTGATGGTGATGAAGGAAATGGTGTATTATCTGATGAGGCATTAGTGGATACAGGAGAAGGAGGAGAGGGTAATAGCAGCAAGAAAAAGAAGAAAAAAAAGAAAAAAAAAGAACATAAAAACCCTAAAGTTAAAAAGAGACACCCTAATTTATTAGGAGACAGTCAGATAGGCTGGTTCGATATACAACGTAATTATTATGACGAAGAGGAGACACCTGACTTTAAATCTCTTATGCAAGACTTAGAGGACTCTATTGCTGAGGCATTACAGTAAATACTCACTGTCTCCTATTTAACTGTCTCCTTTTTATTCGTCTACTTCTTATTTGCCCTTATTTGTATCCCATTTATTTGTCTCCTATTTATTTCTTTACTTTTTATCTAACCCTTATGCAAGAATTAGAAGACTTTATTGCTGAGGTCATACAATAAATACACACTGTCTCCTTTTACTGTCTCCTTATACTGTCTGTCTCCTTTCTGCCTTCTATTATACTTTTCTACATTTTGTCTCCTCTCCTTGGGTCATCGCTGCTGTCTCCATAGGGATTAGGGTTTAGGGTTTAGGGTTTTGTTTGTTTTTTCAGCGTTAGCCCCAGCCGTGTGCGAGGGTTTCAGGCGCGTTACTATGAGAAGAGAGTAGTGTTTGCTATACACCCCGATCCTCTTTTCTTAGGGAAAAAGGAGGGACAAGAAGAGCAGCAAGAAGGGGAGACACAAGAGACAGATCTATCAAACCCTAAACCCGTAGGGGCCCTTAGTCCCCTTGTCCTTATGGAGGCCCTCAGCCAGCTTACAGAACAAATGCTGCAAAAGAATGAGGTCTTCGCAGATATTACAGGTCCTAAACCCTAAACCCTAAACCCCTTTGTTTATGTATTGTGTGTGCATATCTATGGACGCTGTGGGCTTGACGCTGTCTGGTGTCCTCTGTTCCTATACCGTAGATGCACTCTCCTAAACCCTCACTTAGTGTTTGTGTCTAAACCCTAGAAGCTAAACCCTAAGCCCCATTGTGGCTCTGTCAATGTGTCTCCTCAACTGCACCAGCTGTACTGCCGTTGCTGTTGCTGCTGCTGCTGCAGGTGGCGGTGCTACCTTCGGTTGGGACGGTCCCGGGAGCCGTCCCTACTGCGACGAGAAGGAGACAGTAGAGGATGGGGAACCGATGGTGGCAGAAGAAGGAAAAGAGGAAAAGAAAAAGAAGAAAAAGAAAAAGAAACATAAAGATAAAGAAAAAAACAAAATAAATGATGATGATGTTAATTTACACCACGAAGAAGAAGAAGAAGAAAATATTTATCCTGCACAAGCAGCAGAATACAGCAGAACCCCTTCGCCGCCAGGTTCACCTCCAGCAGCAGCAGAGGCAGACCCGATCCCTGCTTCTGCTGCTATTGCTGAAGCAGCAGCTGTCGCCCCAGCTGCGGCAGCAGCAACTGCAGCTGCTGCAGCTGCTGCTGCAGCAGCAGTAGTTGCAACGGGAAAGAAAAAGAAAGACAAAAAGGAGAAAAAGGAGAAAAAGGAGAAAAAGGAAAAAAAAGAAAAGAAGGAGAAAAAGGAAAAGAAAGAGAAGAAAGGGAAAAAAGAAGAGAAGGAGACACCAGAACCATCAGAAGAGATGGTGTCTCCGCCGGCATCACCCAAAGAAGCAAAGAGAGACACTCCTCCAGTCCCTGTAGCATCACCGAAGGAACCCTCACCTGTCCCCAGTCTTAGCAGCAGCAAACCCAGCAGCAGCAGTAGCAGCAGCAGAAGCAGCAGCAGCAGCGACCCTCTGCCACCTCCACCTCCCCCCAAACCCAAGGGCCTCAGCTTAGCCGCAGCAGGAAGAATTGCTGCTGCTGTAACACGGCTAAGAAGACGCCGCTATCCTCCACCATCAAGCAGCAGCAGCAGCAGTAGTAGTAGCAGCAGAAAGAGCAGCAGCAGCAGTAGCAGCAGTAGCAGCATCAGCAGCAGCAGCATAAGTGAGACAGACTCGGAGACACGAGAGCAGGAGCGTATGTTGCGTGCGCAGCTGTCCGAGTTATGTCGTCAGCAGCAGCAACTGCAGCAGCACATAGCGCAGCAGCAGCAGCTGATGCTGCAGCAGCAGCAGCAAAGTTCTTCGGAGACGAATTCTCTGTCTGCTTCTCTCTCCTTTGGTACTGCATCTAATGCAGCAGAGTTGCGTTACATTAGCTCAGACGAAGACGAGGAGGAGACAGAAAGGAGACAGCTACAAGAGGAGACAGAAAGGAAACTAAGAGAAAGACTATTAGAATTAGAAGCAGCAAAAGAAGAAATGAATGAATTAAAGGAGACACTTAAATTAACCAAGCAGCAGCTCGCATACACCGCAGAACCTGTGCATGCAAAAGGTACGCCACGCGTAAACCCTAGATCCTAAACCCTAAATTCTAAACCCTAAACCCTAAATATGAAGGTGCAACAATCACCCTAAACCTTAAATCCTAGCCCGTAAACCCTAAATGGACAGTCCCCTTCTTCAGCTGTCTCCTTGCTGGTAGTTGCTGCTGCTGTTTATTATAAACATTTTTTTCTCCTCTCTAGGGTTTAGGGTTTATAAGGGTTTCAGTTTTATCTGCTAAACCCTAGGGTTTGCAGCATTTATTGTGTGTCTCTTCTTCTCTACAGAGCTTCAATTGGAGTCTCTCCGCGACAACAGCAACGAGGAGACACTTTTCCCTCTTATCCCTTCCCCTCCCCCATTCTGCTCTTCTTGTATATCTTCAAAACTCCCGCAGCCGATTTCTGCTGCTCCTGTGGCTGCTGCTGCTGCTGCGGATAACAGCTGCTTGCCTGTAGGAGACAGTGATCATCCAGGGCATGCATTTGTATCGCTGCGCACGCCTTTGCTGCAGCAGCAGCTGCTGCTCCCGCAGCAGCAGGAGGAGCAGCAGCAATCGTATAACCCTTGGTGGTTTCTGCGTAAGGCCCCAAGGGGGCTGCAGCAGCTGTCTCTCTTTTCTGTGGGAGCCACAAAGGAGACAGATAAATCAAAGGAGACAGATACATTAAAGGAGACGGATAAATTAAAGGAGACAGATACTACAACAGGAAGGCCTTCTATCAATGAAGAGACAGCATCGCAGGGACACTTCTCTTCGCCTGCAGAGGCTGCAGCAGTGCTACAGCAGCAGCACGACGATCTCCGTATGCAGCTGCTGCAGCATAAGCAGCAGCAGCAGCAGCAGCTGAGGCGGCAGCAGCTGCTGCAGCAGCTGTCTAGACAGCGCAAAACCAGAGGGTTTGCCCCTAAGCATCCTTCTATTGCCTTTAAACCCCGACAGAATAAACAACAAAAAGGAGACAAAGGAGACAGAGAGGACACTAACCCTAATGTCTTGAGGGGCTTCTTTAGTAGCAGCAGCAGCACTAGCGGCTACAGCAGCTACAGCAGCAGCAGCAGTTACAGCAGCAGCAGCAGCAGCTACAGCAGCAGCACTGAATCAGATCAATCAGACTGACAGCAGAGAACTGCTGTCAGTGTTTGTCTTTCTTTTTTATGTTTAATGTATTTTAAATGCAGTTTTTAGTTCACTATATATGTACATATACATATATGTGCATATATATACATATTTATGCGTATATATACATATATCTACGTATATATACATATATGTATATGTACGTATATATAGACAATTGGCATAAGAGACGCCAAGCTCGTGTTTAACGGGGTCTCTGCACAGCAGATTCTGCTGTTTCCCTGTATGCAGCAGCGCAGCAATGCTGCTGCTTGGCTGCATGCAGCGTTTATTTGAGGTGTACAGGCGGCGTGCTGCTGCCTGGTGTTTGCCTTATATGTGGGGTTAGGCATTGCATGCAGATAATTAAAACAGAGAAATAATTTTTAATGTTTAAGGGGAGTTAGCAGTACTAGATAGAGGGCAAAGAAGACCCTCCTTCATACCAGCAGAAGCAGCAGCAGCAGCAATGGCAGCAACAGCAGCAACTGGTGCTGCAACAGCAAGCAGTCGTTGCCCGAGACAGTGCTTGAGCTCCTTGCTTTCGGGGCAAGACATCTAGCAGCAATGAGCTGGCTTCTTTGCTAGCTAGCTAGCTACCAAATCAGTCCGCTAGCCAGCTAGCCACCTAGCTAGCTAGCTGGCTACGTATCCTCTTGATTGCGTTTTTTTGGGTTTTTTGAAGTCTGTCTTGTGGTTGCTGCAGCAGATTACTTGGCAGCAATGCTGCTGCTGCACTTGGCGGGGGTCCGTACAGCTAGCTAGCTAGCTAGCTAGCTAGCCAGTCATCTAGCTACCTACCCAGTGTCAGCTAGCTACCCAGCCAATCAGTGAGGTATCTATGTACCTACCTAACTACTGAGGTAATAGTCCCTCTGAAGGGTAGAGAGCAATCCAATTGGACTGCTGCAGGGAAGAACTGTCTCCTTTATTGAAGTGTCTCCTTTTACATTTGTGTGGGGATTTGTGTGCATATCTTATGCTGTCTCCTTACTTTCTATGGACCTGTTGTGCCTATCCTCCTGTCTCTATCTATGTCTCTGTCTGCCTCCCGCTTACCACGGGGTTTAGGGTTTAGGGTTTGGGGTTTAGAGTTCTTGTTTGCTGTTTCTCGTTGAATTTGTTGTGTCTTGTTCTGAATTCTTTTATTTATTCCTTCTTTCTTCTTTTTATTTTCTTTTTATTAATTCTTTTATGTATACTTTTTAATTAACTACATGTTATTTCTTTATATAGCAGCAAGAGAAGCAAGACAAACATCTACAGGGGAAATAAGCAAAAGTTGCATTTTTCTTTTTTGTATATTTTCTGTCTCCTTTGCTACATAACGAGCATCATTTAATGCTTTTTGTCTCCTTTCTGCAGCAGCATCAACCTTTTCTTGCAGCTCCTCAGGAGACAGGGCCTCACCCTGTCTCCCGTTGTCTCCTTTCTGCTGCTCTTCCATGAGCAGCGGGCTAACGGTTGCACTTGACCCAGCAGCAGCAGCAGGAGAAGCCTGATGAGCAGCAGCAGCAGCAGCACGAGTAGCAGCAGCCGCTGCTGCTGCTGCTTCTGTTGCAGCTGCATGCGCTTGTAAGATCTGCAGCTGTGTTGCTTCTTTAGCTGCAGAAAGCGCCCTGTCCGCATAAAGCCGGCTCTCCTTACGTAGATAGTCCTCTAGGGGGCCCCCTGCTGCTGCTGCTGCCCCCATAATATGGGCCCATATAAAGGAGACGGGGGGACAGCGGGGACCCAGAAGGGAACCTGCTGCTCTCTGCTGCTGCTGCTGCTGCTGCTGGTTAGAAGGGGGAGACTGATCCTCTCGATCTTCTACAAGAGACAGCAGAGTCTGAAGGAGAAGGTTTGGTGGTACATTGATAAGGAGACAGGAGAAGGAGAGATATCTTAGGGGCCTCCTGTACCTTCTTAATCCCCAAGGAGGAGGGGGCCCCTCCTTGTGCACCTGAATAGAAGGGGGTGGCCTGTTAGGGAATTTAAAAGACTGCTTCTGCTCCTTATGCCAGCCCCATAACTGCAGCAAGACAGGCAGCATAAAGGAAACAGCTCGAGGAGACACTTCTTCCTCCTTTGCCTTTTTCTTTAAACGCAGCAACTCCCTCGCCACCAGCTGCTCATTAAGAATATCTTGTACCCTCAAGAGATCCTTCACTACCTCCAAAGACACAAACACCGAGTTCCCTGACACCCCAATACCCTCTTCTTGAGGGACCCCTTCAGGGGCCCCTCCAGGTGAGCTTTTGGGGGCCGCTTGGCCGGGGGGACCTCGACGGGGGTCCCATCGGGTGCCCCTTGTTTGAGGCCCCTGTTGGCGGGGTGATAAACTACGGTCTACAAGCGCGCGGGTTTGCAGGAACTCGCGCGTGCATAAGCTGAAGAGATCTGTTCTTGTAAGCTTGGGGGGGCCCCTGTACCCTCTGCTAGAGCTAAGAGAACCCTCAGGGCCTCCCCATACCGTGCCACGCTGTACAGACGAGCTGGCAGGTGACAGTACTGCCAGGAGGTCCTCGTCGCTAGGGATCGGCAACTCCCAGGGATTTGGTGTGGGATTCTGTTTAGCGTTGCAGCGCAGCAGCAGCTGCAGCAGCAGCAAAGAGAGCAACAGCAATTGTTGCTGCATGCAGAGGGTCACTTTTAGACAGGAGAGGACACTGGGGGATTTTCTATGTCTCTGCATGTTTATTTGCTGTTGTATCCAGCAGAAGCCTATTAATACTCTACACCGTAAACCCTAAACCCTAAACCCTAGACTCTAGACCTTCCTGTGAACCTACACCTGAACAGGCTCTACCCGCACTAGTGCGCTTTCGTAGCCTTTTGTTGTTTTACACATGAATTAATAAGTCTATTGCCACTCTTCGTTCACTTAAAAGGACATTTTTTATTTTGCTTTCCTTTACACTAGCAGTATCTCGCCAGTGCCTTTGTGCAGCTGCCTCCAGTCCCGGGGCCCCCCACTACCCTAGGGGCCCCTGGTGACCTTTTGGGGGGCCCCCCAACCCCTTTGGACCCCACGGAAAATTCTTTGGATTCAGAATTGCAAATTATATATAAATATATATAAGAATAAAACTAAATGTATAGGGAGGGGAGAGGCTCTGAGGTGTACAGACAGGTACAGCAACCCTAGGGCCTCTTCCTTGTGCAATCCTCTGCTTGGAGGGCCCCATAAGACTTTCTGTCCCTTTAGGGTTTAGGGTTTAGGGTTTATGGATTGCTGCTGTTATATTGGAGGATTACTAACAACAGAAACGGGCCTTCATCTGTGAGGGTACCTGGACAGGGTTGTGTTGGGGGGCCCCCAAGGGGCCCCCCGAACACAACCCTTTTTTGGCCCTCTCCTTTAGGGCATCTTTATCCCTTAGATGCATCTCTAATGAGTAACAGGATATTTCTTTGGGGGTTAAAACCCCTAAGGGGTGCCTTCTTCTTTTGTTTATTATTTGTTGCTGCTTGTCTGCTGCACCTGGCGGCAGTGGTGGCTGTGGTCAGCGCCAAGGGGCCCTTATCTGCAACAACAGCAACAACAGCAGCAAATGCAACAGGAGTAGCAGCAAAGGGATCGGGTGCCTTAGGGGCCCCCTACCTCTCCTTCTTGCGGCCCCCTTCTATGCAAAGTGTGAATATTCTAACGAAACACTCGAGGGCCCCCCAAAGTGCTGTGAGGTCTTTAGGTAGGTCAATTAGCTGCAGCTGAAACAAGCACAGCAGCAACAGCAGCAGCAACAGCAACAACAACATGAACAGCAACAGTAACAGTAGCTGCAACAGCAGGAGCAGCAGAAGCAGCACGTGTTGGTGTATGGTGTTCAGGGATTCCTAGTGTTCCTGCTGATGATGGCCCAGGATCTTCGAGGCGATGGATAAATCTCTACGAAAAGTTCGTTAACAAACCCTAAACACTAATCGCCAAACCCTAAACCCTAAACACTAATCCCCGATCCCCTAAACCTTCACCGCCTCCCCTCTGTCTAAATTTTTTAAGCTCACTCAGCACAACAGCAAACAGAGAGTACTTGGCATCCCTGTAGTGTGCACTGTTTCCTACACCCCTAATACAAGGGTTTAGGGTTTAGGGTTTAGAGTTTAGGGTTAAGGGTTTAGGGGTGGCTTGCAGGCAACGTGCTGACCGCGTTCTCTTTTTGTTTTCGGAGTTGAACACGGAGACAACAGAAGAATTGTTGTCTTCTTTGCTGCTGCTAGAAGAATCAGCAGATAAAGAAGGAAAGAGACACAGCCCGGTGTACCTGCATATACACTCCACGGGGGGACCTATAACACAGGCACTTGCCATCCTAGACCTCATGCAGGTATGACATTGCTGCTGCTGCTGCTGTTGCGGTTGTTGCTGCTGTTGTTGCTTTTGTTGCTGTTGCTTAGAAAAGGGAGTTGTTACATTCGGCTCAACACGACATATTAGCGCAGCAGCATCAGCAGCATCAGCAGCAGCAGCAGTAGCAGCAGCAGGAGTAATAGCAACAGCAACAGCAACAGCAGCAGGAAGCCGGCATATGATTGTTTGTGCTATTTGCAGCTGATGTCAAGCCCAGTGTATACAATAAATTGTGGTCTTTGTGCTTCTTCTGCTTCTTTACTACTGGTGGGAGGGGCCCCCGGTAAGCGTTATTCTTTAGAGGGCAGCAGGGTACTGCTGCACTTGCCTATGGGGACCCTTGGGGGCCCCCTTTCTCAGCTAACCAAAGAAGCACAAGATGTCGAGAGGGTCCGAAGCCAAATACATAACCTCTACAGGTATGAAAAAGTACCCAGCAGCCCCCAGGGACCCAGCAGGAAGGGGGCCTGCCCTCTTGGGTCTGCATTTTTATTGGGGCCCCTAATAGTACTGCAACAAGACAGCAAATGCATGCAGGCAGAGGCAATAGTTTGTCGAATAAGAAAAAAGAAGAAATAAATGTGTCTTTACTGTTTAAATATAATTAAATTAATCTAGTTAATTAATTTAATTTAATTAATTAAATATAATTAATTAAAAGTGGACGGACCGGGGATCGATCCCGGGACCTCCTGAATGCAAATCAGACGTGATACCACTACACCATCCGCCCTTAGAATACCAAGCATTTCTGCTGCTGTTGTTGCTGCTGCTGCTGCTTCTTTGTTTGTTTGTTTGTTTGTTGTGTTTTTGTTTGCTGTCTGCTACTGTTTGTTATTTGTTGGAGGTGGTCCTTCTTTAGTGGGGTTATTGCAGTATTGCTGGTGCTATTGTTGCTAATGTTTTTCTTCTTATTGCTTCTGTTGTTTTTGTTACTTTTGTGTTGTTTTGTGCAATTTTGTTTGTTGTTGTTACTACTGGTTAGTGTCTATTGATGTTTGTTTAAGTTATATGCATCTGCATGCAGTTTGTTTTATCTCCATTATTGGGTTCTATCTCTACGTTTAGTACGTTATTATCCTGGTGTAGATACACCTCACTAATGGCATTTCTTGTGCTTTGCTGCAGGAGATATACAGGACAATCTGCTGCTGCAGTTACCTCACTACTTGCAGAAGAAAGATATTTAAGTGATGAACAGGCCCTACAACAAGGGATTATTGACTCAATTATTCCTATTACCAAGAAACAAATCCTTAATAAACAGCCAGTACAAACAGCAGACAACAACCTGCAGAAGAAGGAGGGGGGAAGGGGGGCCCTGCAAAGCGGCCTGGTGCTAAGTGCTGGGGGTGACCTCTATGGGGGCCCCCCAGCATTACACACCAAAAAACACATCTGAGAAAACCCTAAACCCTAAACCCTCAAACACCCACCATGCTAAAAGAAACGCTTAATTCCCCCTACAGGAGCTTTATATATTATAAAGGGTCTCCGTTTAGGAGGCCCCTGGTGCATGGTGGGGGGCCCCACATGTTTCCCTTCACTGTGGGGTATTGGGTATTAGACAGCAGCGAGTTGGTGAAGACGAATGACATTTGAGGTGTACGTACACCTCAGTTCTCTCCGTTGGCCTCTGTGGTGGAGCTGCTGGTGGAGGCGGGGTTGTTCGTAGCGTCTTGATTTTTGTTTTTGTTGGTTTGTTTGTCTTCTGGTAAGGCAGATGAGGAAGAGGAAGAAGGGCCTCTATTTAGTTGTAGGGTTTGCGTATCGATTGTTAAGGTGACGGGGCCGTCGTTGTATATCTCTATGCCTGACATTTTAACAACATGTTAATTATTAACTAATAATTAACTAATTAATCAACTAATTAATTAGTTAATTGATTAGAGACTTAATTAAGTAATTAACTAAATTATTAGGAAACAGGCGACAGGTGCAGCAGAGACAGGGACAAAGACGGCTGCAACAAAGACCAGTACACAGCTGCAGAAGAGACAAGGAGACAGCTTACGCATGCGTGTTTGAAATTGTCCCGTTTGTATTTTTTCCGGTTTGTATTTCTTCTTCAGTGTATCCACAAATAAATCATAGAGAGGCCTCGCCTCGTTAGGTGATAGCGCTGCACAAACCACAAACCCTAAACCCTAAAAAACCCTAGACCTTAAAGTGCTGGGTTCAGAAACAACAAAGGCCCAGGGTTTAGGGCTTTCTTGTCTAGAGACTAGGGTTTAGGGTTTAGGGTTTAGGGTTTAGAGCGGGCACCAACCCTAAACCGTTGGCTGTACACCTCACCCGCAGAGAAGTCCGGCTGAAACCCTTTCTTTGTTTGAGCTTGAAGCGTGAAGTTGGAAACCACCAAAACCTCTGTCACGCAAACCACCACCCATGAATTTAGGGTTTAGAGTTTAGGGTTTGCTTAATGTTTTAGGGTTTAGGGAGTATCGTTTGGGGTTTTCAGCTGTGTGTCACCGAATATTTTATTGTATAGGGCGGTCGAATTAGTGCATGGCACAGAGACAGCACTGCAGGTTAGGGTTTAGGGTTTACCGTAGTCCATGTCTACGACACTCTTCTGCCAGGGTTTGTCCGCTGCGTCTGCTGAAAACAGCAAAGAAGGAATTTGGATTTGCTGATCCTTGGGGATTATGGTTTATGGGTGAAGGGCTTTAAGATTCTGTCTAGGGCGCCACGAGGGGGAACGGGCTAGGGTTTAGGGTTTAGGGGAAAGGTGGCAAAAAAGGGGAAATCAGATATAGGAGACGAGACAGGAAATTAACAAGCTCGCATGCATGCATGCATTCAAGTACAGAGACAAGGAGACAGAGAGACACACTATCTAATATAAGCAAAATGAGGGGAGACAGCTGCAGGAGCAAAAAAGGGGACACGGACTGCAAATAGACTTACCCCAAAGCCTCGTCCCTAAACACTTTTTGACGCCATAGTCTAAATCAACCCTGAAAAACATTTGAGGTGTACAGACATCTAAAAACCCTCTCTAGTGGCCCTACATTTATATTCAACTATAAAAAGCGTCTGCGGTGTACTGACACCACAAAACCCTTTTGAAGTGACCCTCTATTTACAGTGTATAGACACCTCAATACTCTTCAAGCGTACACTACGTACAACACATCATATGCCTCTGCATACTCCACCTCATCCTAGGGCTTAGGGTTTCAGATCGAGGGTTTAGGGTTTAGGGTTTACCTGTGGTCCTTCTTTCCAATGCCCACTAAACACAGGAGGCCCTTGCCGATCCTCGCGATTTCCTCGCCCGTCTCCACCACCTTCACAGCTGCTCCTTCTACCCGCTGAAACACCAACTTCATTTCCCCTAGGTCTTAGGTTTTAGGGTTTAGGGTTTCGAGTTGTCGATTCCGGGGGCGCCGGAACAGGCGCATACACCTCAATTGCCTCTCACTTCAACATAAAGTGGTCTTTGAAAACTGATGTTTATGAGTTGGAGATAAAAGTTTAAAAGTGGAGGCTGGTGGGCCCTCATGGGGGCCCCCTACTGGGACCATGGGGGGCCCCCACCAGTGCTAGTGCCCGACGATTCGCCCATGAACAGCTTGGAACGACTATCTAAGATGTTTCCAAGATTAACATCAATTAGAAACCCATTTTTATTGAGAATTAGGGTTTAGGGTTTGGGGTATGGAAGATTACCTTTGCCACTAACTCTGTGCAATCGATTCCCTTTGGGTCTCGACTGTCCCTCGTCTGTAAACCGTTAACAGTAAACACTACACTACACCCTATGCCCTGGGCTGTGTTTAGAAGACACGCTCATTCAATGCCTCTGCCAAAGTCGTTGTAGCTGTTGTTCAATGTGTCACATGCGGCGCTTTGATGAGGTGTATGATCACCCGAAAGCAAAAGCAGAGACGCGGCACAAGATCACCCTTTACAGCCACCTGATCCATCGTCTGTTTTGCCACTGGTATTGCTGTTTCTGCTGCTTCTACTGCCGTCTCTCCTGCTACTGTAGTTGTGGGTTTACAAGTGCACTGGGCTACACTGGGCATGTTGTTTTGAATCCACTGTGAGTGCTAGCTACCCTTGGTGGATATGGTTCATGCTGGTTCTGCTGCTTTTGCCACTTTTGCTGCTAGCCCCGGCAGCAATGCACAATGGCACTTTGTGGGCTGGAGCCACTCGACTTTCTAGCCACCCACGCCACCCTAGGGTCTAGGGTTTACTGCTTGTGAATAGCTGCCTCCTTGCAAGCAAGCAATGTGTTACACGAATACAGCATCTACCAACCGAAGCCAAGGGGCCCTAGTTGTTAGTGCCTTAAAAATTAAAAACTTCTTAAATGTCGGTTTAGTGCATGCAAAGACAAGAAAGCGTCGCTTCTTCTCCTGCAGCGCATAAAAGTCTGCGCTAAATGGTGTTTCCCGTTGAGGTGTACGTACACCTGGCTGCTGTTTTTAGACCAGGTGTCCCTCGAGCTCAACGAGCCTCTTAACAAGCATTGTAAGACTCTGCCTTCTTTGCAGAGCCTCGGGGGTTCCAAAGAAGACGAATTTAGTCTTAGACGGAGCAGCTGCATGCTCTCTTAAGGCGAGGAGGTCATAGTCTAGTTCCCCCTGCTGCTGCAGCTGCTGCTCCCTCCGTGTTAGGGATATTGCAGATAAGGAATAAAATTCATTTAAAAAGAAATGAAATAAACCCTTTAGATGCTTCACGTAACTGCTAATCAAACCAGGGCACCGCAGTTGTAGCCACCCGTCTAACCACACAGCCCCTTGTCCCTGTGAGGGAACGAGCTCGCAACCTGAAACAAAAACCACAAACCCTAAACCCTAAAATGTAAACCCTAAACCCTTGCATATCTTTGGCACATGCGACGCATACACGCATTCGAAGTAATGGCATGATAGCCTCTCGTGACCTGCCACGACGGTTACGCAGGCCGCACACACCACCCCCAACAGCAGCAACAGCAGTATCAGTAGAAGCAGCAGCAGCAGTTTCAGCGCCTACAGGAAAGGAGGAGGAGGGCGAAGACAGAGACTGTGGAGACATCTTTTATGAACACTTTGGTTGTCTGCAGCTTCTCGCTGAAGGCCACCCACTGCGTGTCGAACTCGCAGTTCTTGAAGTTCACCGATGTCGGGTGAATAAACACCCTAAACCATCAACCGCAAACCCTACGCCCTAAACGCTAGGCTCTAAGTCAGAACACTTCACTTTCACGTACTGCGCAGCAAACGCCTATTTGAACTTGTATTTACACTGCAGGTCTTCTAGGTTACGACGCAGAAGATAAAGGCTAAGCCCTACACCCTAAACCGTTGAACAAAGCAACTGTAGATAGGCCGACACTCTAAAAGGAAAGAAACAAAAGCCCACCGCTGCAATTTCTGCTTGACGTTTCTTCTCTCCTCCTGGGGGGAGTTGGCTTCGGCATCGACGCGAGTGAAGAACTTCATCTGCCACGCTTCAGGAGTCTTTTCCAGTGTCCCTGAACCCACTGTCTGCAGTAGCACAGCAGCAGCAGCAACACAGGCGGCAGCAGTCTTAACGAAATCGTACCCAATCAAGGCCACAAAGAAAGCAAGCTCAAGCACGGAAACAGGTTGTATTAACACCAGCAAAGTTCGTGGGTTCACGGACGTCTCTGCAGCCTCGCATATTCCTCATGTCTACGGTTTAGGGTTTAGGGTTTCAGGTACCTACCATGTACGTTCTCGGGGCCTGAATTGTGGCTACCTGCGGATACAGCCCAGCCACGACGCATGCTTTGATGTACCAGGATATGCTATTTATGCTGTCTTTGATCATCTTATCTTTCCCTTCTCCCTTAGGAGGAGAACGAGAGGCGACAGGAGATATCTCCTCAACTCGAAGCGTTATGACTTCGTCGCCGCTATCGCTCCCGCAGTCATCGGCGGTGCTGCTGCTGCTGCTCCTGCTGGCTGTTGTTGCTGCTGTCGCGGAAGGAACAGGCATTACGCTCTTGCCTGCAGGGAGAAGGAAATGCCACTTGTATAAACTCTCACAGGCAAAAAAGCTGTGTCGTAGATGTGTGCAAACGCATGCACGCGCCGATGATGGAAGGAGAGCAGCCCATAGGAGGAGCGCCCGGGATGCATCCAAGTGTTTCCAAGTACAACAGTGGCTCAAAGGAGAAACAGGTATATCTGCAACTTTGTCCAAGTGTACGCGTATATCCAAGTATGGAAAAATGCATGCAGGTGGGCTGGTACTTAGTTACAGACACTGCGTGCATGCATGCTGTGGTCCGTCTGTGTACTCTTACTCGCTATTTCTTTGGTGGGGCTGTTGCGGGTGTCTGCGTTCTCTGCAGGCATCATGGCGAGAAGTCCTGCTTCTCTGGCCACTCTTCTAAATCTTTTTCTGAGGGCTTCTGCTGCCCTGCATGTGTTTGCGTTAACGCCAAAACGGAGACAGAAAGCGTCTTCGGCTGCTCTCCCCATGGCGACAGCCGCCTCCCAAGCAGCAAACACTCGCAAGCTGCTCACGAAATCCGATTGGCTTCGAGCAAAGTACTGCGACACACGCGCCAAACCCTAAACCCAAAACCCTTGTCATAGCTTCACGGATCATCTGCAAAACAGCGTCACTGGGCAACAGAAAACGGGAAGGCAAGCAACAGCTAAGAGGCAAAGACCAATAGAGGAGAGTGATGCAAAGGAGAGACAGAAGTGCAAGAGGAGCAAAGGCAAACATAGAAAAGGCGGGAAAAAGTAGACAGACAGAACAGACCAACAGAAATACTTCGAGACAGCAGACGATCAATGGCTCAGCGGAGGTCCATCTCAACAAGTTGCGGCAATCTCTACCTATCTATTCATCACGTTAAGACTCATGCACAGTGCTGCATGCGCTACATGCATTGCATGTGCTGTTTTGCGTCCCACCTTCTGCCTTTCTGCTGCTGCCTCTGCCCCTGGAAGGTAGAGCTCTGCGTCTGCTGCCATGAGGGAGCAAAGGGCGAGTGTCTCCTCCAGACAACCAAGAGGAGCAGCAAAAATTAACATCTTTGCGAAGGCAATGCTCATTGGGAACCGAGAGAGATAGAGGCCCAGAGGCGTCAAGGTCTCCCCTAAGCCCCCTCCAACGCACTCAAGGGCGCCTAAGTGAGCCAGGTGCCTGCAGCAGCGACAGCAACAGCACCAGCAACAGCAGCAACAGTAGCAGCACCCAAAGTAGCAGGACCAAGAGTAGCAGCGGAAACATCAGCAACGGCAACAACCCTAGCAACAGAAGCACGTAACTCGGAACTAGGCAATGCGCCATTTGCGAAGGGTGTCCTTCTCCGTCCTCCTGTTGCTGCTGCTGCTCACCTGATAGAGGCGTCAATGTGTTCTTGAGCTGGCGGGTCAAGACACTGACTGAACAGGCTGTGCAGCGGCTCGTTAGGGAAGATTGCCTGCAGCAGCAGCAGCAGCATCAGCACGTTACGAGCTAGTCAGATAAGGGGCAGCCAAACGGCAGCACAGAGCCCCCCACAAAATATGAACAACAACGGAAAAGGAGACAGAAAAAGAGTCAAAGACAGAAAAGGGCAAGCAGAAGGTGACGGAGACATAGACAGGCCGCTACAAGCCCTCACCTTGAGCTGTAGACAGACATTGTCCAGCGCTTGACGGTGTAACTCCGGGGTCTCCACCCTACAGCAGCAGCAGCAGCAACATTAGAAACAACAGCAGCTACAGCAGCAGCTAGCTGTCCCCATGCAGTCACAAGTTTGGGCATCCGTCTGCCTTAGCCTGTGCGTGGTGACTTTTGGATCACAGAAAACTCTTGCCCTCTGTCTAGCCTAATGGTTTGCATACGGTGCCATGTCCGCGAATTCCTCCTGCTGGTAGAGGCGGAGGCAGCATCCTTCGGAGACTCTGCCTGCACGTCCTCTTCTCTGCTGCGCATTAGCTTTTGTAATTAGTTCTTCTTGCAGTTTGCTGCTCCTCTTTGCGGGGTCGTACCGCAGCACCTTGTGTGTCCCGCAGTCCACCACGTAGCCCACGTCCTGGCACATACGAGTGTACATACACCCCAAGCAAAGCATTAACGACCCCGTACTTACTCACAAACCCCGCAGTACCGCATAAAACAATTACATGCAGCCATACGTCGAGTGGTTTGATGTGCGCTGGGGTTAAAGCTCAGGATATAGGGTTTAGGGTTTACACTGATGGTGATAGAGGTCTCCGCGATGTTTGTGGCGACCACAACCTTCCTCCAGCCAGAAGGAGGAGGAGCAAAAACCTTAATCGCAAACAACAAACAACAAACAACAAACATCAACTAACTGCGGTCAAGATTTAAACAAATATAATATTCGACAAAGCCACAGATCCCGCTGCTTGCCCGAGGAAAATCACTCCCCCGAGAGAGCTAGCGACAGCAGCAACACCAGCAGCAACACTATCAGCAGCAACAGCATCAACAAGAGCAGCGGCAACAACAACAGAAGCAGCAGCAACAGCAGCAGCAATGGCATAAATTATGTCACTTTTTGTTGTTGCTTTGGATGCAGTGAGGCGTGGCAAGGTAGAACCCATAGGTCCATTTGAAGTTCCTCTATGGCGCGGCAGACAGCAGACACTTCTCCTACTCCGCTGCAGAAAACAATTATTGCTGTCCCTGCCCGCTGCTGCTGCTGCTGCTGTTTCTGTCGGTTTCCTCTGGAGCCTCGAGTGTCTCCTGGTGGATTCTTGGAACAAGGAGTCCCTGTCAGGTGTACGTGACGGACGACGGCTGCTACCAGCTGCGGTAGCTGTGGCAACGCGCCCACGGGGACCCCTGCTACTGCTGCTGCTGCTGCTGCTGCCTTCTTGTCAGGTCCGTCAGAGGTGGTGCATGCAAACGTGTCCTGCTGCTGCTCGCGCCATTCCGTCTTAGTCGTCTGAGGTCTGCCTCCCTTAAAACGCGCTTCAGCAGCTGCTGCTGCTGCAGCTGCAGCAGGTCCTTGATAGGCAGAAGGCAGATATGCGGGGTCGCACATCTTCAACACCTCTTCCAGGAAGTGTACAGACACCGGAAACGTCCTTCCAGGTACCTTGAGGACCTCCACGCTGCTGTCGCCTCTGCCCCCCTCTTCCCGCAGCAGCAGTTGCTGCTGCTGCCACAGCAGCTGCTCTCGCTGCAGCTGGTTGAGACTGCTGAGATTGCCCTGCAGAGCGAGAAGCCGATCTCTGCGGAAGTACGAGGCGAAGTGCTCCACAGCCAAAGAGGCGCTCATAACGACCACCTTGAGCTGCGCATACACCCCACAGCAGCAACAGTTGTTGCACACAACTATGCAGGGTAGTTTCTGCAACTTGGGTGGAAAAGAAGACACACAGCCCCCGAACTGTTTCATTAGCGGTGACTGGACACCGCAGCAGCTGCAATAGGTGCTGCATGCGTACGTTGTGTTGCTTCATGGCGAGGGCCTTAGCAAGGACGAGCAGCAGCATATCCACTTCTGTGCACCTCTCGTGTACCTCGTCCACCACCACAATGGAGACTCTTTCCAGCGCGCTGAAGCAAAAGGAGACCCACAGAAGAGTTCCTGTAAATAAAAAGGTGCAGTGTGCATGCATGCCTAGTCATCGTCAAGTGTGTGTGTGTGTGTGTGTGTGTGTGTGTGTGTGTGTGTGTGTGTGTGTGTGTGTGTGTACGTGTGTGTACGTGTGTGTACGTGCGTTTGTGGCTGTGTGCACACATGCAGCAGGTCGTTCAGATGCCATCTGAAGTAGAATTATACCTAATCGTACATAATGATTCACACCACTCTATTCAAAAGTGCGGAAGGCCGGCTCGCGCACTTATAAGGCCAACCGCTGCGTTTGCCTGCAAGTGTCTGCGTAGGCACGGGTGTGCATGCAGGTGCCCCTGTTCATGCATGTGGGTGCATAAACGCGTCCGCTCATGCATACGTTAGTGCATGCATGCAAAAGCCAGTGCATGCATGGATCTACAAAACGTTCAATTAATCGCTTTTTGTGAGGCTATATAAATGTTGTGGGAAAGCGTGGGAGAGAGAAGTGTGTATAGCATCATATACTGCGCCTGTTTCGATCGACGGAGGCCAAATACAGCTGCATATTCGTTCAACTAGGAGGGCAACCAGGCTGCTGTTGTGTCTGTGCAGCACAAGGGGAAGCAAGTAACAAGCCACTCACTCGCCACTCAGAAGCTGACGCAAGAGGACTCCGTGGGTGCAGAAGAGAAGGCGAGTCTGCGGAGTCACGCGAGATTCCAAGCGGACTTGATACCCCACGAGGCCTCCCAAGGGTACCCCCATTTCAGTGGCCACCCGGCTAGCCACGGAGACGGCAGCCAGACGGCGAGGCTGGGTGCAGACGATGTACGCAGGAAACTGATCTCTGCTGCTGCTGCTGCTGTGTTGCTGCTGCAGCGCAAGTCGGGCTGCGGCTTCCAGCAGCATCCGAGGCAGCTGTGTCGTCTTCCCAGATCTGCAGCAGCCACCGGAAGGACAGCAGCAGCAGCATGAGCGGAGCGCAAACGCACCAAATGCAGCAGCAGGAGACGTAGACGGGAGATGAGGACCACGAAAGGCAACAAACACACCCAAAGAAGCAAACGAGCTCCAAAAGAAAACAAGAAACAGACACGACAGCAACATCTGCTAAAGAGAACAAGATAACGACGACTTCGAAGACAGCAGCTTAAAACCTACATAATCATCCACAAAACTGGCCGACTGCAGAGGATACTTGCAGCAGCAACAACATAAGTGACGTCACTAATAACAACCCCACTGCTTACCCTGTTTCTCCCTGTAGGACAAGTACCCGCTTGCTTGGGTCTGCTACAAACTGTACGACAGCATCAAAGTGCTGTCGCACGGGCAGCCCCAGGGCATCAGCCGAAGCTGCTGTATTTACACTATTGATTATATTCTTGCACAGCTCTGTTTCCTTTTCATTCAGCTCGCCCCCAGGTCGTGTTGCTGTTGAAGGTCCTCCTGGAAGGCCTTTGCGGTTCCTCTGTCCCTCATGAGTCTCGTGAGATATCGGGCTACCTCGGCTGTCTCCGTTATCTTGCTGCCGCCACTGCTCCTCCTGCTGGCGCTCATCTGTCTCCTTCTTGACTGCTGCCCCCGCTACTTCTACTCCCTGTGCTAATGCAGCTCCACCGGCAGGAGTAACAGACGTTGCCCCCGTAGCCGCCGCCACCCACCGTGCATGCATGCCACGGGACCCTTTGGGTTCTTGTGCAAGCAAGTCATCGAAGTGGGCCTCCAGCTGCCAGGCTGCATGCAGCAGTGCCGCAACCTCTGAGACGGTAGTTTCGCATGTAGGCGAGGCGAGAACGCTTAGCAGCTTTGGGACTGGAGGGGAAAGTGTCTCCTGTCGTGAAGAGACTTCTGCAGACAGATGCTGCAGAGGGCGCGCCAGCCGGGAAGCGTTGTGTGCAGCGAAGGCCCCACACAAAATGGCCCCAGCTGCGGGTCCGTAGGGAGGGGGTTTGTCTTGCATGGGGACCCCACGGGGAGACGCAGGGTCTTCCTTCACACCCACCCACGCCACTGGCGGGTCGAAAGGATAAAGAGACCCAGGAGGAGACAGAACGTGCAGCACGAGCGCTCCGTCCTGGGGAGGCAGCCCCTGGGACCCTCCGCCCTGCATGCAATCCGCACCTAAGGAGGCCTTCAGGCAACTCTCGACAGACGACGCAGTGGCAGCGTCGAGAGGGGCTTGCAAGTAGAAACCATCAAGGCCTTTCAAAGCCTCTTCCGTCAAGCTGCTTTCCGCAGTCTCGGCAGCAGAAAGGCGCAGGGGCGAACACTCAAGGAGACTCTCAGCAGCCTCCATTTCCTGATCCTTTATCTGCAAACGCGCACCACCACAGAAGCATTGCGGAGCATAGACCCATCACCGCTATCGCTGAAACGTTGCAGCCCACTGTACAGACACACCAGCCCAGGCAAATGCAACCGGGGACGATGGTATGTATGTTATATTAATTGCCACAGTGTCACTACATTACTGAGCGTTAGCCCCAGGACGTTAAGCATGTTTAGTTAGTCAGTGAAGGAGCAAGCTGCCGCAAGTGCGAGGAGATAAGGAGCTTCGCTCCTGACTATCCTACTACACTGTGCAGCAAGTTCAAATTCAGCTGCTGAGGGTTTTCTTACGGATTTAATGCTCTTCAACACTGCTGCATCCGAGAGGAGTTGGGGTCCCCCCAAACGCTCCAACAAATTGCGCCTTTCCCTGTCCTCTGATGAGCCCACAACTGCTGCAGAAGCTGCTGCAACTGCTGCACAGGCATCGGAAAGAGCAGCACCAGCAGCTGCTACTGCGGCCTTCCCTTCTTTCTGCTGCTGCTGCTGCTGCAGCTGCTGCTCCAGCACCCCAGCAGCAACGCCGTGCAGTCCTGTGTTGTGGCACAGGGAGCTCAAGGCCTCTGCCAGTTGCATCAAGCTGTCACAAGATGCCGCCTGCGGAAGCATACTGGTCAGGGTCGTAAGGGCTGCTAGGAACCTGTCCTTAGCCTGCAGCAGGGCATTGTACGTCCTTTTCTCATCCTGCTGTTGCTGTTGCTGCTGCTCTTTCTGCTCCTGTGATTCCTCAGAGGTGGCAGAATGACACCTGATTTCAATTTGCTTTCCAGCAGGAGAGAAGTGGGGAGGCAGCAGGCCCTCGTCGGTTATGTTGAGGGCAATGAAGTCCTGACAGCTCTCCAGCAGCTGCTGCAAGGCAGTTGCTTCCTTCTGTTGCTTCTGTGAAGGATGTTGCTGGTCATGGTGGGGCTGCTGCGGCTGCAGCGGGTGCGCACTCAGGAGCGCAGCAACAGCAGCTTCGACTGCAGCAACAGCTCCTCCCTTGTCAAACTGAAGGGGTCCCGTGAGCTCCCTCATAAGGCTTGTCTTGAGGGTCCCCACGGCTCTCTGAGAATTTAGCTGTCTTCTCAGCGCCCAGCTAACTGCACCCATCCACTTGGTGTCTGTCCATTGCAGTGGAAGAAGGGTTGTTTCCCCCGCTTTGCGAGTAGACGCAGCAGAAGCAGAAGCAGCAGTTTCTGCAGCTGCTGACGCAGCCGCCGCTGCTGCTGCTGCTTCGGGCTCCGAACGAGCGGCGGCAACATGCGGCAGCAGTTCTCGCAGTGTCTGCGCAGCCTTTTTCCGGACAAGTTCGGCCATGAAGACGGTGGGCATTTGGGCTTCTTCTTCGAGTCGCTGTAATTCTTTCTCTTTCTCTTTCCTCACCTTCTCCAGTCGTTTGCTCTCCGCTGCTTGCTGCCTCTCAAACTCAGACGCAAACCGATGGGCGCTGCTTATCTGCACGCGGAAGGGGGCCCCTTTGGGGGGCCCTGATACTTCTCCAGAAGGTGATGCATCAGAAACACCGGGTGGGACCCCTTGCGGGGGCCCTAGTCCGTTCTGTTGGGATGCTCTTGTTGATGCTCCTGTTGCTGCTGGCCCTGCTGCTGCTCTCCCGGCCACTGCTGCCCCTGCTGCTGCTGCCCCTGCTGCTTCCGTAGACCGTGCTGCTCCCGCTGCTGCCAGCCCGTTTTCGCCGGCGTCAGCGGCAGCTGCACCATCCTTTGCAGGCTGCGCAGTCGAAGCTCCTTTTGTTGTCTTGGCCTTGGCGCTCGGTTTCTTCGGCCCCCCTGCTGCTGTCCCTCCTTGCTGCTGCTGCTGCTGCTGCTGCTGCTGCTGCTGGGGTGTATCCCCAGACAGCGACAGCCACGCCTCTCTAAATGGAGAAGGGAAGAGCTTCTCGTAGGGTCTAGTGGGCTCCAAATGGAAAAGAGCCAATAAGGCACTGAAATTCTCACTGTGGTTTTTGAAGGGAAACTCCTCGTTCGTCAAAAACCTGAAAACAGAAAAATGGCCTAAGGTCAGCCACTTACTGTGGGGTCCATTAGGTGAATATGCAAATACACTGAAGGGCAAGCCAGAAAAGAGGCAGGCAAGGGAGGAAAGCGCAAACTGTCTCCGACGCCTATGTGGAGACAGGCGCTAACAGATAAGTCCGTGGGGGGAGCAAGCAACAAGAGACAGGAACGTGGTGAGCCACGCATAGGGTCTCATAGGCATAGGGACTCAGGCACATAACGCTGCTATTGCTGCGGCTACAACAGCCGCATCGAAGACTCAATGAATACTGCAAGTCCTAAAGTAATGATGCGGGAGCAGCAGCACAGGCAAAAAGACTCACAGTGCAGCTCCTACGAGGCAGCAGCGCCATCTGTACCTTCTGCAGCTGTATCGCTGCACTTATGCTTTAGTTACTGCTACTGCCGTCACTAAAGCCATCTGCTCTTACCTCATTGTCTTTGAACTGTCTTTTGGATTGCTGAGGATGCACTCAGTTTTGAAAAACCCCTTGGGTGCCCTGCGCTGCTCGTACTGCGGCTTGGGCATTTTGTGCTGCACATACACCCAAGGGTTAAGCCACAAAACCTGTTGAGCATGCAATTAATGGATAACAGGGTCAGAATTTGGACGGTGGACACTAAATAAACCTTTACCTTCTGACAGTGGTTGTGCAGCACCTCCTTTGGCAGCCTCTGAAATGGCTTCATCTCAATAAACCCAGGAGGCCGGTCGGGGGGTTTGGCCTGAAGCAGCGCAACAAAATTGCTCATGGCCTTGATTTACAGCGCACCTGTAGCGATCATGTAGGGTTTATGCTACGCATAACATCACAGGGAATTGCATTCGAGTTCGAACTTTCAAGTAAGAAAATTTGCCTGAGTACACGGGAGCTTATGTGTGATTATGCACATGCCGAAAGCCACATCAGCCCCACTTTGGTCTATGATTTCGTGTTTAGGGTGTACACGAGACAGACAGACCTCAGCAGGGCTAGTTGTTGCGTTGGCGGTTGCTGGCTTGGCTTTGTCTTTGCCCCCCTTGTCTTTACCTGGGGGCTCCGCGGTGGAAGGTCCCCTGCAACAGCCGAATACAATTAGTCTCAAACTGTAATTTAGCCATGAAAACAGAAAACCATACGGTCTGTGAAAATTCTGAGTCAGAAAGACGTGTCACGGGGAGGGCTGGACAGAAGAGAGCTCCTCACTTCGCCTTCTTCGGAGCCATCTTCACCTAGTGTAGCCCCTTGAACTCCAGATTGTCGGTGCCAAATATAGCAGAGGTTAAAAAAGCGCAGAAGGAAGAGGAGGAGGCATCGGGCTTCGTGGATACAAGGCCTTCAACAGTCTTTGGCTTGTCCTTGGCGGGCGCAGCGGATCTAAGCCCCTTCTGCCGTCCTATCAGGTGTATGTACACCCCAAAAACTACCAAAACGCATTTTAAATCACTCGGCAGCCAAGTTATCAGGCATTTTGAGGAACAATGCTGCCGCTTGATGGCCAGCAGGGCCGCATGCAGTAATAGCTGGGAGGGCCCACCAAGAACAGCCGTTGCAGCCAGTCATCCCTGTACGCATATCGGTAGCTTGGAACATGTCTTCTACTTCATTTAAACAATGGGAAGACACTCCTTATTCCCTTACTCGGTATTGAGCCTATTGTTCGCCTTAGCTAATGTGCTGCATCCGATAGGGTGCATCAATCGTCATCATCGCCTCGCTGTAACTGAGCCATAGCCTCCTAAATATGTAGAAGTGTGTGTTTGCATTGACTTAATAAATATCAGATTACATGCTGAAGTCAAATATTCCACAAGCAAGCAACCATTGGATGTGTTGGTCAACGCGAGATACCTCGATTTCCCCCAAGCAACTGCGAGCTGCATTCGAGCCAAAAATAAAAGTGAATGCTGCTTAAAACCAGCTGGCCTCCCTCCTCGAATTCCAGGTGTCAGGAACTCGGCGGGTCAAGCTAATGTTGCAGAAAAGGATGCGACATGCCAATAGTTCCTTGCTGCCGCTAAGGGTGCAACACTACACGTACAAGCACGAACAAACTTTCTTGGCTGTATGGACAAAGTTCGTAAACATCTGTTGAGACAGTGATCGGGGACTTCACCGTTTCTTCTTCTGGCCCGGGTAAGTGTGCATGCTTCCACTTGAAGCAGGCTAGCCAACGTCGCACAGACTATGTTGCATTCAGCACAGCTTGCTGCAACCACAGATGCAAGGCAACCCACATGCACGCACTAACAAGACTTATTAGATGTATGCACGAATGCTGTAGCCGGCTGATGAGGAGTTCTGCTTGCCTGCTTGTTGCTTACACTCGTTTACCAGCTTCACGCAGACGAGCCTACATTGGACAGGTTATGCTATAACATTAGTATCGTAGGACTAACATTAGGTGCAATAGTATGGAAGCTCGTAGAATAAGTGCATCAAGCGAGCGGATATTCCTGTACTGTTGGTCAGCTCGAATCTTCGCTAATGTCACACACAGCGCATCACCATTTGTTACAAAGTTGGAACCAGAAAAGTGCTTTGGGCAGTGATCGACAAGAGTCCGTCTACGTGTAAGTTGATTTCTATCCCAGAACTATGGAAAAGCTGAAGTATGCACTAGTGAAAGCAGGCAAAAGCGGGGGTCGGGAGCTTTTCTCTAGCCTTTTGATACATCCGGTGTCACTGGATCCTTCAGGTTTACGTGCAACAAAAGGCTCTTTTCTGAATGGGATGGCAAGCAGGGCCATGCACTAGAAATGTCGTGGGCGCAAGCTCTGCTGCGTTGCCAACAGCACACCATGGTGAACTGGACCAAAGTATAATTCCTGCGCCATACTAGTATGATCATTATGAGCTGCGAGAAGCGATTGCAACTTCGGATCGGTACGGCTAATCGACCTATGCACACGGCGGTTTGGATAGTGATCTGGCGGTGATTTTGCTACTCCCCTTGTCACCATTGCACCGCTCGTGGCGAGGATCTAGCATAATCTACAGAATTTTATTAAGTTTGGCTGAGGGCGCATTAACACTTTGCCTGCCCCAGTAAACAAACGCTACGCAAGCACGTTATCAGCAGCTGCAGGCGCTTGCTCCGCTGAGCTCAGGACGACTCGACACTGGGGCGGGTGACCTGCTTCTTGGTATCTCCCACGTGAAATGTTTTGGCTCCATTGGAGCTGAGCTGGGCCAGGCGCCTGGCGCTGTAGATGAGGAGGCCGCCTGGTCTGGATTGCAATGCACCAGCAACGGGGTGTAAGACAGCCCCACATACAAGCACAAACAAGCCCTCTTGGTTGCATGCATGAACAGTGTAGGTTGTTGCTGATAACTTGTTCGTGGGTAGAGTTTTGTCTAGTAGGGCTGGCTAAGTGTTCATGCGCCCACTAAAGGCAAACGTGCAAGCATCGGGCAGACCCCCGTGAAAACATGCACTGCCGCAGAGAGAAATCCTCCGTGTGGGCTACGCATGGCTTAACATGGACACAAATATACGCACTTCTAACTATATGAGTCGCTATCCCAGATACTGTGCTCGAATTCCTCCCAGTGTTGAGTAATGCCACTTGCTCGATGCAATGCCCGCGCAATTGTAGCGGCCACCAATGCGGTGAACACACGGAGAGACGCGCACAAGTTCCGGCACCCGCTGGAAATCACACTATTTTTCGTACTAATAAAAGGCAAAATATAGCAACATCACTATATAAGGTTGGTAATTCCGAAACCGGGGCCTCAGTCACTATCACATGCACAAAATTGGCATCCAGCCCGGAGACAAGCCCCACTCGGAATGGTCCCAGAATGCTTGCAAAGGGGCAAACTGGAAGTCAGAGACCGTTTTCATCCATTTAAAAATACAGCGGCAAGTTAGGGGGTGCCGCGTAAATCGTTGCATAGATTTACAGAGCTTCCCGCAGATCCACTAGACAAGGCTCTCCTTGGCAGCAGGGGACTGAAGGCGGAGAGTGGCATTCCTTAGCCTCTCCCAGGTTCTTAACACAGCTTTCCATTCTAAGGAATACGGAAGGAAATGCTGGCGGAGCTGCGGCCAGAGCCGCGCGACACGATTTCATCAATTTGCTTCTCCCCAAACCACGCGAAAAATGTGCTCGCGTCTTCTTCCTGGGATAACGTGAGTTTAAGAGCTTCCTTTAGGCCAATTTTCCCGTATTTCTTGCGTGGAATGTGCTTCTGAGCATCTGTTTCTCTAGGGAAACGGCAGATCCGGAGTAAAAAGCAAACTAGCGAAACTGGGCAGACGAATACTACCGCATTATCTGCAAACGGCATGCGCTGCAACCTCTTCACATTGGAGATTAATGCGTTTTCCAAAGCATATGTGGGCATGCGCATTTCGAGCCATTTGTCGCTTCTTGTGGACGTGATGCGCTCAGATGCTACGCGTCTATGACGTGGACAATTCGGAGCTGATTTCTCAGCACGAATTTCAAGCCGCCCCACTAGACTGCTGCTTCCTTTCAGATTTCAATCGCGTTGCAGTGGGAGGCCTAACGGGAGGAATACATGTCTTTGATGTTCACGGCGCCAAGATATCCCAAGTCGGCCGTCATGACGCCCCTGTTCGCTGTGTCCGCTTCCACAGACCAACGAGTGAGTTCCAGTTCCGGTGGAATCCCCCCTCATGTTTTCAATTGCTTGGATGTTTGAAGGAGATATGCGCTATTAAGGCGTGTGTGGCCTTTTTAGAGTGTCATTCCAGCATACGGGCCTATTGACCTTTTTCTCTGACCCTGCGTTGACAGATCTCATCTACTCCGGTGGGTGGGACAGCACGATTAGAGCGTGGGATTTGCGTTCCCCGAGGGAAGTTGGTGTTGCGACGCTCCATGGTAAAGTCTATGCGATGGATTTGAACGACGACAAACTAGTGGTCTGTGACTCCATGAAACGGGTAAGGGGAGCACCGTGTGGGTGACAAGCTCAGTTGCATTTTAACCGTGTGCTTGAGGAGCTCTGTCCCTGTCAATTGTGCTGGCACTTAGGATGCAGGAATATTTTGCAGCAGATCTGGAGATATAGCTCACCACAACGTGCTGTGTGGTAAACAAGCAATGTCTGTTTATCGTCACGGGTGGTTCCAACTGTTCCCTCCTCAATCTCTGCATGAGAAAGGGAACTCTGCATGCGTGAGACGCGCTTATGTATTTACTTCTGCTTTATCCATGCAGACATACATATACGACATCCGCAATGGCGCGGAGTTGGTCAACGCGGAATACCGCGAGTAAGGTTTGTAGAGTCTTGAAGAATCCCAATTAGCTTAGCTGGCAAGAGGCATTCTGTAGCGGATTATGAGTAGTCCACTTAAGCGTAGTTAGAACTTCGTTCGCATGGACTAGCGGGAAATGGCAGATAGCGGCAGCTAATGTAATATTCATCGGTTGAGTCCCCTGGAAAGTAGTGCAGGTGGATTGTTTTTCGTATTGGTCTGCAAATCGAAGTTCACATGGAGACATGGAGCAGGTCACAGCGCGTCTGCACACCTCTAGCTGTATTTTGGCACTGATTTCTTTTTGATGGTGAATGGTGCGTGTCGCAGTCAAATTCTCAAGTACCAGATAAGAGCAGTGCGGTGTTTCCCAAACGGGCAGGGATTTGCAGCGTCGTCCATTGAAGGCCGTGTTACCTGGGAATACTTCGACCCGGTAAGCACAAGCCAAAGAATAGCGCATCATTGCACAGTGATCTCGCCGTGTGAAGGGGTAGTGCCACTTTATGCGTGCATTTCCACCGGTCTGTACTGTACATATATTGTCCGTATTTGCTTCCACGCGCTTTTCCTTGTCGCGCTTTTGCCTTGCCTCTGTTGTCGGGATTAGAAATGCTGCTGTTCTACCGTAGTCGCTGTCTTTAGAAAGCCTGCATCTGTACAGGCATGCACAGATATATTAGGCGGAACCGATGTTTTGCCTATGTACTTGGCCTCATGGCTGCCACGGTTCTTTTGCGAATTTGCTTCCTTTTAGAACCCCGAGGTGCAGTCCCGGAAGTACGCCTTCAAGTGCCACAGGATTAAAGGTGAGGGCTGAGCACTCGTAGCGGTAGAGGCACTAGTTGGGGAGCTGTGTTTACGGCAATGGGTTCAGTGAATCTGCGGACGCTACCATTGGTGCCCCAGACCAGCTCAGTTATATGCGAAGTGGTTTTTTTTAATGAAAGAAGACCTGTTTCAGAACAGCTGTACTGCAGCAATAGTGAGCCGATTCCCTCTTCTTCGCAGTCCCGCTTCGTATGCACTGATTCCTTCCGTACTGTAGACTGCTACTGCGCTTTCCGCAGAAACAGACGGATCGGAAACAGCATGCCCCGTTAACTCGATTGTTTTCCATCCTCGGTGAGAGCACGCAAATTCCTTACGTGCCTTATATGTCATGTGCCACCCGAATAATGTACATTGAAGTGGCGCTGTGGTAGGGAAGGTGCACAGTCATGTTGATTGCCGGGAAGTGGGTTAAAGACAAGTGCACTTGTTCAAGGTTGTCCGAGGCTTAAGTGCTACAGTGACACGGCTCAATGCTACTCGCCAAATCCACCCAGTTTCTACTTAGGTGGGACGCACTGTGTCCGCCCTCTCTAAGTGACAAAAGATGGTCAATCTTCGTTGGTTGGCCGGCTCTTCCGCAGGTATGGAACTTTTGCCACTGGCGGTTCGGATGGCGGTGTGTCAATTTGGGACGGGTTGAGCAAGAAACGGCTATGCAGGGTCCCTCCTCTACCTACGAGGTGAGTTTGATTTGTTTGAGCAGTACACTGATGCCCCAAGGTAAATATGCTTAACTTGCATTTGGTGTAGTCGTGCCGTGCGTACTACGTAATCTGGTGTGCACTGGATTTCTGCCGTGCAGCGTCTCGAGTCTGGCCTTCAACTCTAGCGGCACTCTCCTAGCAATGGCGGTGTCGTACATGTATGAACGGGGACCACAGCCAGGGCAGCCCAAACCACAAATTATCGTGCGTGCCGTTAGAGAAGAGGATGTGCGTCCGAAGTCCTAGGAGCTGCATCCCTGGAAGGAGCCCAAGCAGTGACAAGGTCGTTGATTTTGCTTGTCAAAGCTAGCCGGCATCTCCATCGCGGATTGATGCTGGCATTGGCCTAGAAACTGACGGATTGTTCATCGTTGAACGGCCAGAAGAGCCCATTTTTGAAGATGAAGGCATATCTTATGGGGGAAGGTCAGCGGAAGTTTCGTCCTTCGAGAGTTTAGCTCTAGGGTAGCAGTCCTATGCGTCGCCGTGAATGATTACATCCGGCTGCGCGGAGTGAAGCTGACTCAGAATATAATCTGCGTTTTTGGAGTCGTTGTCATCCCACCTGCTCGCAAAATAGGTCACAGAGGTACGTTTTTGGCTGACACTGTTTTGAGGTTCCCCCCCAAGTTTTGAGACCTTGCGCATAAATGGCTCCTGGTGGCTCTATGGGTAACACGGGCGCGCGCAACGGTTTGGCTGTGGGGTAGTGGAAATAAATGGTCCAGGCGTTTTAGGCACAACTTATGTGGGCCGTACCTCTTCTTGGCTTCTTCTCGACTTTCTGATATTCCACTTGCAACGTGACGTTCGATAACACGGTCCCTAGCTATAGTTCTGCAGCAGCCACGCCAGACAGAAGACGCAAGCTAATAAAGAATGTGCGCGTTGTAGGTTTGTGCCCATAGTTTTTTATAGTTAGAGAAACAGCGGGGAGGCGATTCCAGCCTGAGGGAGCGTATATTAAGCTGCATCGTGTTAGGTCCTGTTGTTTCGCCCTATACCAGCAACAGGGATTAGCGGGAAACTACTAAACATCCTTGGATTTGCACACTTGGGAGTATTAATGAAGACTGTTATGTCGAAAGTTCCGGTATGCAACCAGCCCTCTCCAATGGAAAGTACATACAACCCTTCCACGAGGACGACTCGCGTCGACGCCGCAACCAAGCATCCACGGCTATCAGGGTCCTGAATTCAGTAACCAGTAAATGAGTGAACGTTTCAAGGGGAATATATAGGTGGAGTAACAAAACGCCGGATTTAGAGGGACAGTGGTCAGGTATAGTGTCAGTTGACAGATATGGCAAGGAAGCCGTTAGGAGCAAAACCATCCAACATACTGTGGTTTGATGGCCACATGGCATATGGCAAGGCTAGTAACACGTACAATTGCTAGGGCGTTATTTTAAGTGCTCCTGTTCAGGGGTTTTCGTTGCGATGAAGGCTACGGCTCACTTTAGCAGCATGGTTAAATGTGGGAAGTATTACAGGCTTAGCTTCCATCTTCAGCGTGCGGAGCGCTTCCCTTTACCATCCACAATGAGGAAGGAAACTGGTGCCTCGCATTTCGCCTTGTGCTTGTTTGCACACAAAAAATGACTCTAGAGATGAAAACGGATTACAGTCAGTCTACCTGGGCATACACATCTGAAGGGAAGACAACTTATTAAACACCACGTCGTCGGGCCAAGACGACAACGGCTCACCGGAAAGCGCTTAGATTAAAAGTCCACGGTGCGCCACGACGTCGATGAGCCTCCTCTGGAGCAGGTAACCTAGGCAAAGAAGGAAAATGCAATTGAAGTTGCTATGCAGCGACGGCGGATATTGTCATTTTCTTGCAGGTGGAGGCAGCACGCGAATAGTGTCGGGTGTACATACTTGTCCAGTTCTGCACGTGTGAGATGAAAGCCATCCATTCCAACAAGAGCCACTGGTATGGGAGGTCCTGCCACATTTGGCTGATTTAATTGCATAAGGTTTGTCTGTAGGCTTTTCTCTACTTGGACCGGCAATAGGCACGGACAAAATTGATCAAGGGACACTGCATTCAGCGCAGCTTGAAGTCTGGTTGCCACGGTAGACTTTCCACTTCCTGGAATACCTCCAATGCCCACTAGAATTCTCCAAGGGCGTTGAGCTTGCTTAAACTCTTCTGCGACCTTGCTCAGTTCAAGTGGTTCTGGGGGCTGCTGACGCAATGAGGAATCGTTCGTCAGTGCAGTACCAGAGGAGAACAGGCAATAGCTCCAGTGTACCTCCAAGATTCGGGCAGCCAGAAATTCAACTAAGCTCCCAATGTCAGATGCCACAAAACGTATACCTTTGGATTGGGCCTGCGTTTTCTGCAGACCGTCGGCGTCTATAGTCGTGAAAGCATCCATCCCTGTGGCTACAAGGTACCATAAATCTTTCCCTAAACATCCGTAAAATGATACAAATAGAAGGATGGAAGCGCGACCTAAAAGGATATCCTCCAGTAGCAACTCTCGCAAGTGACCTAGTGGCTACTCCTGCAATTGTGACGCCGCCGGTGACCCGCTCCACTAATAAACAGAAGACTGTATATATATATGTCAGCTTTGATCACTTACCCTGGACTGTGGAGTTGAAAAATAGCCAGCTGGTTGTTAATTTCTCTGGACTACTAGTCACTGCAGTGGAAAACTGAATGTACTCCAACTCAGACTACAGTTGGGTTGCGAGTGGTTGTGCCGAGTAATTTCTAACTTCCGGGCGGCGACCGGCTACAACGCCATACAAATGTGGAGCAACTACGCTATAGCTGCTATATCGTCATTTTTTACAACTGCTGCATCGAGCCGTATACTCTTCCAGGCGGTCCTCACCAGTGGCATGGGTGTGGATGAAGGTGAAGGTGTGCTGCTGTGGAGAGGTGTAACCATTAGCGTCTCCTGAAGGCTTATTAGATAATTAAGTCTCTCTGAAGTCGCTAACTACGAATAAAAGCACCTAAGGGCGCGCAAAGCAAACGATGTCTGCCATGTGCTCGTGCTGCTTATAACCCAGCTCGTCTCCTGCCGTTCCTAATGCTGCCACCGAGGGAGTAGGCAAAGAATGGCCACGTATATTACTGAGGAGCTCTAAATGCTCTCCAAATGTGTCTTCCTTGGGGGTAAATAACGTCCCATCGCTCGGGCCCGAAATCACTCTCCCTTAAAGATAGTTGAGCCGACAACCTCTCCAACGAACTGGGTACCGGTGGCATGGTGGAAGGAAGGACCAGGCCACTGTACACGCAGAAGATCCCCTTTTGCGTGCACGTCTAGATATAGCGTATGCTGTAGTTCTAAGCTCTCGGTAGCCCTTGTCCATCCTAGGACTTGCCAGTCCCCCCTTGTTCTTCTCCGCGGCGGTTCAGCTCGGTAACTGTCTACGAATTGAGTGAAGGATATTTAACACTTCCACAGACAAGCAATATGGCTGAATGTGTTTCTCCCAGCCCTGGTAGAGTGGCCTTGAATTATGTTGTTGCTGCATGATCAGATTGGCGCTCCTCTGCACGTTTTTGGTGCTTCTTCTCTAGCTTCCCGGAGAAGATGCGTCTTGACTATGGTTCAAAGCTGGTGGAGAAGAAAGGTATTCCCCATTATTCAATGTGGTTGCCCTTGCGACAAGGTTTCAGTTGTTTTTCCACAGTTAAGAGTTAGCTCTAATGATTCAACGGTAAAACAAAGAGCACTGGTTATCAGGGTGTACAAGAATGCTGCAGACTTCCTATACGAGGTGTCTTAATTATCATGACAGAGCGACTGTTATGCGGAGTCCGTAGTGACCAATAGACAGCCTTGTTGCCCGGCAACAATGTCCACTACTCGCCACTTACTGCTATCCTGCTGGCCCAATGACTCCTTAGTGTGCAGCGGCAGGCATAGTAGCTCAGGTGTTCGGCCCTCTGTAGCCTTGAGACCTAGCGGCATTTTTAAAGCCCCTGGTCCCCATAAAAAAGCTTCCCCCTCTTCTGCCAGCACAGGCAAATCCACACATCTTCTCCGTAGCACTGTGAAATACCTGGCAGTTTATGGTTGTCCTCAATTCTTGCACTATGCCCAAATTCCTCTGACAATATTCCTGGCTTAATCACAGAGGCCTTCTCCCTAACCTCACCTGTGAGGACAGCCGAAAAACCAGTTGATCTCGAAAAGCCACCAGCAGCCACTTTCCATGCACGGCTCTTGAAAATGCTCTGCAGAGGAAACACCTCAAGCCGCCTGGTGCAGGAGAATGCACGAGGCGCGTGATGAACCCCATACACGCGCTTAGCCTGAATCAAGCTATCAGCGTGGGACAAAAACCGGGTGCAGACTTTATGTCCCTAACGGATGGATGTGCTCAACAACTTGTACACAACTATGATTATGTAGATACGCTCCTTGCGCAATCCAGTGCATATTCAACGTACCCCTGGGTATTGCCAGTGCATGTCAACTGCGTGAGGCAGCTCCGCATTCGGTCCTCCCCATTCGAACACTGCTCCATTTCCTAAAATCATGAATGGTAAACAGCAGCAACTGTTATAAACAGTTTCACTAGACCACGCCGAATGACCCGCTTCAACTGCAGCATATTGTACTTCTGGAAGGAGTCGCCATTGAGGAGTGGATATAGGAGGACCTACTGGATAGAGCGAGCGAATGGGATGAACCTAAAGCGCAACTCTCCAGTGGCAAGTCTGCCCGTGAGAAAAACTCCACCAGTAGCGGATAGTTTGACTCCCCACCTGAAGCCATCACCTGCAACACATGCAAACACCAACTACGAAGTGAGGACGGCAAGGTGCAAATGATAAACATTCTAAAGCGTCAAATGGGTCAAAGTGAGTTCAACTAGCAAACAACATTCGGCGACGGGGTAGCTAGATATCGCTGCACGTCTATTACTATGACCAGCAGAAATCGCCTGTAGTGACATACCGATTTCTCCCTGCCCAGTTGAAGGCAGTCGTTTCGTCCCCACACCCAGAGAGCGCCATCAGGCGTTAACAAGCCACAGTGGTACGTCCCACACATAACCTTGGGGAATCTCACGCCAGCTCTCACGGACAAGCAAGGGGAGCCTGCTGGAGCACTTTTGTAGTGCATTTCCTCTGGGGTGTCCTGATAGGTCTCGAAAGGTCTCGCAAACGTGTGAAACTTCTTAGTCCCCTTCTCTTCAATGCTCTTCCTAAGCTTTTCAAGGTGCTGCAAATGCTCCTCCACAACCCGGCGTTTTGCCTCAAGAAGAACCGGGGAAAGTATGCCTTGAAAAAATTCCAGTTCCTTGAATACTTTGCTACTTACAAGCATCCCCGAGCCATTAACCCCAAAGTCTGCAGCGCCAGAGCTAAAAACTCTTCCGGATCCTAAGCAACCAAACCGATAGAGGCAGCTTACAAGGAAATACAAAGGCATACATAGACATAAGTAGACAATTAGCTTCTTTTTGATAAGAAAGCTAGGGCTCCAGAGACCTGCCTAGGAGATCACCTAGAATGAGTAGGAACTTGACGTAGGCAGACCAACGGGAATTCCAAGATCCTCCCAGGCAAAATAAGACAACACCTACTTGTAACTACACAAGTGCTGGCAGTCCCACACGCCACGTCCACGACGAACTCTCCGGCTTTTACAAACTGAGTGAGAGAAGAGACGGAAGGAAATAGGATCCGCTAGTGCAGCGCCTCCTGTTCTTCAGGTTGAGTTCTACATTAAAATATGTAGCGAAGAGCAAGGCGCAAGTAAAATCATGTGAAAGTAGCTCACCTGGTCTACAAGAGTTGGCCGGCACCGGTTCTTGCTGTCTCCGTGCCCCAACGGGCTACCAGCTCCCCACGAACCCCCGTTTCCCCATGTGTACAAAATGCCATGCGAAGTCAACGCAGCAAAGTGCTGTTTTCCCGCAGCCACCTTGACGAATCTAGGGTGCATGTCCGTCTCTGCATTCGTGGTAGGACGTGCAGCCAACGCAGGAGGGATTTCGAGGTCCTCACTTCGCTTGCAATGCCGAATAAAGTCACTTACTGATACACCCGAGGCTTCCACCGGTGCTGGCTCTATCTCAGATAAAGGGCTGGGGAAAACACTCCTCTCAGTGCGAGGAACGCTTAAGGGCGCCCCAAACAGTCTACCCTCTGAAACAGCCAGCACGTCAAAGCCCCCAACAGCCCAAGAGCTAACTGTCCCTGACTGGCTGGGAACCAGCACCTCAAGCAATTGTCCTTTTGCTTCCCAGTCACCCCAGCCCACCAAACTGCGCCACAGTGCAGGTCTCTCCGGAAGTCTTGCCAGCCATATCCGAAATGACGTTTTGGCGGTAGTAGACAGGAAGCGCGAGCAAGATCTTCTCATATCAAGAGAATTGTGTAGTTTCCTCACTGGCAGTGTCGCCGCTCTATATGCAGTTTCACATGAGCTGCTCTCTGCACCTCTACACCAGGACAGGCCAACGCCCTGCGGGCTAAGACGCCGGGGCCACTGCTGTGACGTGCCCCTTCCGAGAAAGAAGAAACGATGATAAAAAGGGGTCATACACGGCCTCGGCATTGTGCAACATATGCTGACTAACTCCGCGGCCTTGATTGCCGGATGTAAGAAAAGACCGACAGGCATCCCCCCAGTGCCAACGGCCCCGAAAGAGAGCATGATAGGCCTCATTATGAGCCGGATTTCTGGACGAATGACTGCGAGTCGGCCACATGGGACTTGGGATAAGGACGGGACTGCAGATTGGAGGACGACAGGGCAACGCCCAGGACCAACATCAGCCTACACACCGCCTTCAGCAGCTCCCCCGTACATTTTCTTACAGGCAGTTATAATAATAACGAAAGGAAAGGCTACAGCCTATAGTCTTACGGCTAAAAATCGCCGAAGGGCATGACGGAGGGATGGAGATCGTGAACAGAGACGGCGCAGACTGTGGGGGAACAGGGTAGATGCTTTGGACCCGACGCAATTGCCATGTCCTAGACATGCAAATATAGCAAATTATCCTGTACAATGCATCATCGCGAGGCCACGTGCAAAAACTGTTATGCCGTCCTGCGATCCGTGGCGCGAGTCACAAGAGGTTGTACGATAGACCCCAGAGATTATGGGAGGGTCTTCAGTGTGTAGTTGCGCGAGTTTAATCTTTAAAGCAAAAAGGTAAAACAAGAAGAAATCCTAAAGCCGCAATATTTAACTAGTACGAGCTCCTCTGCACAGAAGCAGCTTCCGGGGCCCCGGTAGCTAGACCCAGATCTGCTGAGTTCATGAATGTGTTTTCTGCGTCTTCTCATCACATTTCTACTTTGGATATGCTTGGCAGCTAACGTTGTTGTGGGTAGAGACGTTTAGTATACTGGAAGCTGGGCTTCAAGAGCCTAAGCGTCTGGTTCTGTCTCGGCGGTCGAGCCCTTCTTGTTGAGTCTGTCGACCGTCGCTAAGCATTAACATGCGGGCGGCTTCCTCATTTCTCTTTCTCTTCTTCAATAGAACCATTCGTAGCAGACAGACACCCAACAGTCTCACGTTTCCGATCGAATTGTATCGCGTCCTCGATCCACCTCGGGGGCACTACTTGCCACTGTAGACCATCGGACCACGACAGGTTGCAAGGCTATCACCCTCTGACTGGTGAAGGGGCCTAATCAATTGCTGTCTGCCACCAGACAGGCTCCCATTGATTCCTTAAGGGGGGCAAGTCTCAGCCGTTGGTGGCGTTGGTTGGCGGTGAGACCACCGTAGGGGGCTCCCCACCACCGCAATTCCTTACATTTTGCATATTGTCTTGTGGGACCCAGGCCAGTTGTAGAGGCCTAGACGAACAAGCAGTGGTGGAACTGGAGCAAGATAACTAATGGTGGCTGCATTCCTACCCTAAAGTACTAGTTGCTAGACGGCCCAACAAACAGAGAGGAACAGGTGTGCTCCGTAGCACATCAATCCAAGTTTGTTTGTTTCGATCACGTTGCATTTGTAGTTGCAGGGACTGCTGAAGAGGCTGAACCGCTGCTGCTGGCTTTGTTCTGTGCTGAATTGGGCTTGCAGAAAGAAGTGCTTGTATGTCGGTGTGTCACACGGAGGAGGAGTGTACAGAGGGACAAGGAGGAGCACACTGGCCGAAGATGCATATGGAAGAGGATATGAGAGTTGGACTGGGAGAATCCGCGTGTGAATTCCGCGGTGCCCAGCACTCGGAGTCACTGTGGAATGAGGCTAGCGAGATCCGCTCACGGATCGAAGGCACGTCGTAACTTGCCTTGTGGCACGAAAGGTTTCTTCATGGTGAGTAGTGCTTCACTAGAGTCATGAGCCTTGCGGTGGTGTGTGCGCAGCTTGCCCAGTGCACATGAGCAGTGTGACGGCTTTTGCATCAGCACTGGCAGCAAATCTTTGCACCGCTGTAGATGGGTCAATGGCCTTTTGCTTCGTGAGAGACGTTGAGACTGAACAGCTCCTAGGGGCATATGCGGCTCGCCCAGCCGTTTCTGGTCAACAGGATGCCCGCCATGCCGCCACGGGACACGATAATCAAGGTGAATGCGTAGATGTTCCCTACCAGCCAGGCAGTGCAGTGGAGAAAAATAGAACGATGATGCCCATTAGCCCAAAGGGGGCTTTACAAAGCTGTTTAAGCGCCTTCACAGTAAAGGCCAGTAAGCCTGTGTTTGACCCCTTGTTGCATCTAATGTATGGTAGGCAGTTGCATATGCGATGCATGACTGCAGTGTGTATTCTCGTTTTTCACTTGGCGTGAGAACCCCACCCGAACCCGCAACACGATACGAGAGTGTACATCGGTTTCAGGAACGCCAAGACATCATGCTTAGAGGAACGACGATGTGTAGTGATTTTTGTGTGTAAAAGAATGGTTTCAGACCTTGGCATCCTCCATGTGATTTCTGGTGATGCTGCGCAGCGACGAGTTGTCCGTGCAGTGGACCCCCACCTTGTGGAGAGCTCTCTCTGGAAAATATGAGCCCAGAATCGATGGCCTTTCTCTCTGCTTTGTTTGCTGAAGACGCCAGAGCCAGTAACTCCTGTTCGCCCCTCCCTGCGCAACCCCCAGCTGAGGGTGAAACTGGTTCAGAAGCGCCATCGCAGAACCGTTGGGGCAGCAAATCTTTCCAGAAGTGTCATTCAGGGGAGAATACAGCTGTCCCTTTAGACGTGAGATTGGGTCAGCCTGAAGGAGAAAGCAGTACACGTGATCATCCGATAGGGAAGCCATCTAGTGGGGTTGTCTCAGAGGTACCGTCACTTCCGCCGTCAGAGCTGATTGTGCTGACATCTGATGGCTTAGTGGGATATCTCGTGAACGATCTGAAAGGAGGTTCAAAGGTGAGTAGATTGCCCGTTTCATTTAGTACCAAGCTCTTTCCCCCGTTCTGTGTGGTTTAGAGGACGCTCACATGATTCCTAAATGGATTGTGTGCTGACTCGATGGCTGCGTGGCACGGTTGGCTTGAAACGGAGCTCCATTATGCTGATTGTACACAACTTCTCTTCAGGCATATTGCTATGAGCCAGCTACAGGGCGGCTCTCACCTGCGCCAGCGAAAGATTTGTCTAAGGCGGGCCAGCCTGGCGGACTCCGGTGAGGCCTATGACAATTCCCGGACGAGCATTTAGCTTGAGGATGCCACCTTCACAGTTCCCTTAGCGTTGCTTCCGCGATGGCTGTAACTTGTCGTGTTTTGGCTTCAACTGGCATGTACTTTTAAACATGAATTTTAGTGCTTTGCATCTGCAGAGACTCACTACCCCGTGCATCGGATCAAGGTTTCCTGATTGGTTGCCGAATGGAAGGCGAAGGAGCACTGAGTGCATGCACAGCCATGGCAGAAGCCCGCGTATCTTACGTGGGTCCTGGGACGAAGAGACTCCCTTCGTTTCCAAGTGGTGTTCCTAGCAATGTACCGCATCCAACTGCCCAGCCGGATGGCTCACTGCTTGGGACTCGGCTAGCTTCTGTAGAGTCTGTTGTTAGTGCGGGAGATGCTTTAAAAGCATCTCCATTGCCCCGTTTAGCCCCACGGGCGCGCCTGCCGTATCTTCCTCGAATATCAAATGGCTTGCATGACTCCATTCCGCTGTTGTTTTCGGCCACCCTGGAGCATCCTACTGCCGCGATGGACGAGGGAACGACTTTCCGGTGCCCGGAAAGTGCATCCAGTGGCCGAGGTTCACGCGCTTCAACGGAAACGCACTCGGCAATCCTGTCCTCCCGTAGAAACTTGGGCACTGAGACTGTACGCATTATGGATACCTGGAACAGGGGCAGCTCTGTGGGTCGTTGTTCGGGGCTTGTTGCCCCCTTTATTTACGCTTTTGTGTCTGAAAGATAACTCTTTCGAAGGGCTTCATCAGCAAGTGCTGGTTTTTTTAAACAGACTTAATGGAACTGTGATAGTAAGGAAACGTGAATTGTGGACGTTGTGCTTTGTGCAGCCGCTGCTGACAGCTCAGCCAGAAATGGGCCTTTTTGTAACGCCTTCGAGTTCAGCCGCAGCTGACTTTCCCTGTGAGCGACCGTCCGTGGATAATGATGTCCGCGATGACAGTACTGGTGGTGCGTCCATGTTGCACTCTCTGCAGTCGGACGCGACCTTAGGAGTCGTCTTTTGTCTCAATGCCAAGAGGGTTGATGCGCACGCTCTGCTGGAGGCAATTGCTAACGTGTGCGCTCCTCCTATGGCACTTCTTCTCCAACAACAATGGCTTCGCAGAGACAGGTTTAAGCGTGTTCTCCAGCTGGAGCTTCATCGTACTGTATTTCAGGTCAGTGTTGCACCCAGGTGCATTTCGGTAGGTCGGGTTAATGCTTCATGCAGATTCACGACTGCTGGTCTGGGTTATATGCAAACTTGATATGCTTTGAAACTTGTGTACATCGGTTGATTCGCATGTCCCATGTTGAGAATTTCCATCGAGCACTGCACGGATTGCACTTGGTCGGAGGCTTTGAGTGCGATGTCCCCGCAGGAAACATCCATACCCATCAGGATGATGCAGCGCCTTCTGGCACTAGTCCACGCCGCTGTTGGAGCGGAGGCGGCAGCCTTTTTCATTGCAGATACTCAGAACAGGAACTTTATTTGTCTTGGGGGCCACAAGAGGTGAGAAGGAGAACCAGTGCCCTGTGTCATCCATCGCGTTCCCTGTCGCTGTTGTAGTCTCGATCCATCTACATTCGATGAGAATAACCACTCAGCTGACAGCAAGACATGCCTGAACACGAGGCCCATACAGTGCCTGTGGACCAGGTTGGCCCCAATAGGGGCTGCATGGCACGCATGCTAATTCACAGTTTCTTCAGATGATTTGCATAAACCCGGAATTTCTTATGTATGTGGGACCTTACCCCTTTTTCAGAGCAACGGGCCTCAGTCTATGCGGAGACCACCGGCTCTTGGGAGAGGCAGCTCGCCAGCGAGGCAGGACAGTTATTTTTAACTTCCTTCCAGAGGGATTCAATGCAGAGTACGACTCGCGTGCACGCTTCGAAAGCAAGTACGTTTGATAGTGCACGCAGACACACATCAGCCTTTCTAAAATGCCTGGGTAGATTCACATCGTTCCTCTACAAAGGCGTGCATGAATGGCCCCAGTTGGGAGCATGTGCACCCCGATTCAATGACGGCAATAAGCCATTAGGAATTACTTAAATTTGGATTGCTTCAAGATGCGAGTGCTCTGGACGTTGTGGCTTGCAGGCACGCCATGCTGGTCCCCTTGCTAAATACCCAAGGTCACGTGAAAGCTGTGGTGGTGCTGCTTAACCGGCTGCAGTGCACATGCGAGCGCATGAAAGAAGTAGCAGAAGACGCAGAGAGAAAATGTGCTTGTGATGGTCACGTTCGTCGCCTCGAGCCGTTGTCTCTGGCAGTAGATGCGTGGAGCGCTGCGACAGCTCCTTGTGAGAACTGCGCCAGAAGGAATGTGAACGAACTGTCATATGGGGAGTTTCTTTCAAGGCCACCTTTGTCTCTCGATGTTGACTGTTCTCGGCACTTTATCGGGCAAGTAGCAAGCAAAGGCTCCGTTTTATCATTATAGTTTCACTTTAGTCATATCCTAGATAGGGGCATTCTTCTACACTTGACACGGGCTTGTCACTTCTGCTTACGGGGTGCTAGCCCTACACAGGCCGACGCATAGTCTATTCCAGTGGCCAGCCAGTACGGGTGAACACAACTACAGGAGGGGTGTCTTTCCTGAACTGCAGGATTCACGAAACATTAATGCGCGCTATCCAGTGCGAGATGCAGCATTGGCTCGGCGGCCAATTAACAAATGTCTGCATGGCCGGCATGAGTCTTCTTCAGCCCATGGAAACAATGGTCTCCTACGTCATGGGGGGGCAAAGACAGGGACACCGGAACACAAGGCCTCTCTGCGCAGTCATGGAACAAATTGAAGTGAGACAGTAGCTCAAACAGACACTTGGAACTGGTTGCGCTGTAGCTGTAGACAATCGAGCCAGCTACTGGAGTCTCCTACTTCTGCTACAGGGTCCTCGTCTCAATTGTCAGCTGTGTTGGTAATACGTAGCTTGGCAAGCTCTGGAAATGTAGGAAGTGTTGCTCGCAGTGCACCGTGCTCATATTCATTGAAAAATGGGGCGCTTGATCCTAGTGAGGGAATAATTGCTGTCCCTGTTTTTATTGCTCTTCTGTGGGTTAAAGGGTGTTGGAGGTACCGCATTGAGGTTTTGGGTTCTGTTTATTGGGGCTGTTTTGCCTTCGTTCCTACAGAACTTTGTCCTTCGTGACAAACGCATGATGCTGTTAAGCCTTCGTCGTTGTGCTTCGGTGGCGGTGACCAAGCCCATTTCATACTCCTGGACAGATGCTGGAGCGACACAGGGTTTGCGCAGCACTTCTTCACGTCATTCAGCGGGTAGGGCGTTGAGTATAACGCCACGTCTGCATGATTCGAGAGCCCGTACTGCTCACGGCAAGGCTGGCTCACTCAGTGGAGAGCGGAGTTCAAGTAGAGACGATAATCTTCTCTTTGCGGGACGAGGCTCATGCGCCAGTCTCCCCTCGGCTGCAGCTGCGGAGGGTGTTGCAACGGACGACCGCTTCTCAAACAAGTACCCTGGTACTTCATGAACTAGATTGAGATGCAGACAAAGTCGCCTAATGCAGGTTTTATAGCATGCATACCTCAATTGAAGTAGTTTGCGAAAGGTGGGACATAAGAAGAGGTGGGGGCTAGGTTGAGGTTTTTGACGTAGAGATGTGAGTGATATTGCTGCCGCGCAGAGCAGGGCGTGCGGCTAGTCCATTCCAGCAGCGCCCCGCTTGTCCTCTACTCTGGTCTGCGTCACTCTTCCACGGGAGGAGAGGAGTTGAAGTCTACTCCGCAGCATGTGGAGGACAGCACATCGGATGAATTGCTGGCATTTCGGCACAAGCGAAGAGCCTCCCTTCCATCTCTGGTTTTTTCTGCGACCCTCCAAAGGTGCACGCGGCCGTTTGATGATATCCGCAAACAGGTATTCGCTGACTCTAGGTTGGCACCTCAGTCTTGGGGGCGTATTGATTCATGCTTGCTGCGTAGATTTGTTTTGCCAAATGAGAAGATAGTGTTTACCTCGTGGTTACCTCGTGGCTTATACCTTCTTAGAAGTGAAATGTATGTAGTTATTGCCTTCTGTGTAGTTATTCTCTTCCGTGTAGCTCTCATTGGAAGCATATAGACGGTTGGACCTGGACATTTGGCGGAGGACGGCGGACGAACTACAACTGTTCTTCCTTCTGGCTTTAGAAGAGCTGGGCGTGATGGTGAAGAGTGAAAAGGCTGCACTACAAGCATTTTTTGCTCTCATACGCGATGCATACCACACCGATAACCCTTACCACAACTTCTATCACGCAATGCACGTAGCACAGGTATGAGGCAATTCTCACAGATTACACAGCAAAATTTTGAGTTTTTCTTTGCATGCGGCAAGTGGCAAGGAACTGTGTTATCACACAACATTTTCATTTAGTATCTTCCCGTCATAGAATGATTGGCTGATGAGCCTGTTGATCTCCTGTTGGCCGCCGCAGATGTGCTGGCTTTTTTTGACGCGGTACTCTTGCAGAGATGCATTGACGCTCACGGAGCAGCTGGGTCTAATGCTGGCGGGTGAGTGCTCGTATTCGTAGGAACGCTGTGTGGCTACTCGAGCACTTTTGGCGTGTATGCATTTTCTGCTGTAGCTTATTCTAAATGGTATGTAGGCGTTTTCGCCTAGTAGAGCCTCCAGGTGGAGATGCATGGTACGCATTTGCATGGATTAGCTGCTATGCGCCTGCTGCACTTCTTGTAGGGGCATCTCTTTACCTGTGGTGACGAGCATGCTACCTTGGCGTTTCCTTCTGTTGTTTCAGCCTTGGCGCATGATGTTGACCATCCAGGAGTAAACAACAACAGCCTCATCGAGCAGCAGCACCCTCTTGCGATTATCTACAATGATAAGGCGGTTCTAGAAAACCACCATGCTGCTTTCGCTACCAGCGCGTGAGAAACTGCCTCTTCATTGTCCGATGCTTTCTTCACCCTGTTTTGGTTTCATTGGCACCCATTTCAACTCAACGCACTCCTCCACCATCCCCAACAGTATCATATCCTGCTGCCGTTGCGGGGTGCTGAATTGCACTTGAAATTTGTCTGCAGCATGATGAAGCTTGGGTTGTTTTCTCACAAGGCGAAAAGCACGAAAAAGTCGCCCTGCCCACGTTCGTCTGCCTTGTCGAGCGGCTCTGCAGTGGCGGATGTGGAGCAGCCCTTTCTAGTCTCGTCAGCTTTTGGAGCTGTGCGCCAGCAGAATGAAGAGGAACACGACTGCGCAGATGATGAAGATGACCACGCGTTTTATCCATCCTTTGCAGAAATCCGCAGAGTTCTTATAACCTGCATTTTGGCCACTGACATGGAGCTATTTAGACAGCATCATGAGGCAATGAGAAAGAGAGGTCAAATGAAAAGAAGTGCGTGCATGTATTTGTGGTCTGTTCTGCAGGTTGCTCGCTGCAGTTGCACTTCAAAGGGCATTCAAGCTTACTTCCCTCACTGCAGAGGACATGAATGTTACACATGAGTAGAGTTTTCGAAAGTACCTTGCGAATGGGTATTGCTTGGATTTGAAGTGGTGCTTTGTTTTTGCGTGCTCTCAGGTACAGGAGACTTCTTGAGTAGTGATGAAGATCGCACATTACTGGTCACATGTCTGATCCACTGTGCAGACATTAGCAACCCTTTGCTTCCTGAACGCCGAAATGTGCAGTGGGCCTCTCTTATTATTCAGGAGTTCAATGCCCAGGTCAGTAAGATGTTTTCCGTTTAATGGGCGGCAATTCTCCGTCCTCGGAAGTAGCACTGTGCGCCGCTGGATTTAGAGCCAAAATCTGCTGTCTGCAATGTAACCATTTATAATGCTAGGCTTAGAGCTACAGTGGTTTTCAGTTCTTCTCTAGGTGAGCAACCGTTATCAGGATTTAGGCCGGTTCCACTGTCAATTTTACGCGTGTTGATTGGTAGGTGGAGATGGAGAGGCACAAAGGGCTCCCAGTGACGGTCTTCATGGACGCTCGTACGGAGCTGCTCAGGTGAAGCGGCGCTCAACTGAGAAGTTGTGCATGTCTTGGCAGTCTCAGTCGCGTGCGTGCATTCAGTGAATAGTAGGTACAAAGTTTCTCTTTGGAGCTGCAGGTGTGTGCTTGTATTTGGATAGTTATATATGTGTGGTTATTTAAAACGTTCTTGTTCCATGTGGGCACGCCGTTTGCCTACAGGACGCAGTCCCAAATAGGCTTCTTGTCTTTTGTTGTCCTGGACCAGTTCCGAGCTCTGGCAGACTTGGTTCCTGGTGCGGAAGAGTTAGTTGTTCAAGGAGAAAAAAATTTGGAGGACTGGCAGTCTGCAATGGATATCCTGCGCGAGGCCGAGCGCCGGGACGCGTGAGAATAAAGGTTGCACATTGCTGACTAAAGCGATACAGCGTTCATATTGTTGTTAGGTGTAGTTTTCCATTTCGTTTGTTGGAATGTAGTACGCCCTCAGGCGTATCGCGTGCTGACGATGTGCAGGTTAGGAGAAAGCGTTTCTACTCTTGAACTCCCACGGAATTTCACTTTCCGTTTAAGAAATTTGAACTTTATAGGCATGAATGGCCCCAAATGTTTTGGTCGCCTACGCAGGTAAAGCATTTTCTTTCTGGCGTTTGAGATTTTCCCACCCCTACATTGAGTTACTACGTTGCAATTGCTGTTTTAAAATTGTGCATGCAGCGACAAGCCTGATGACTGGAGGCCACAAAGTTTGGATACATGAGCTCCCGGACCGCAGAGCATGGTCTGTCTCAACTGCAGAATTTGTTTCAAGGTATTAGCAAGAGTATTTTTTGCGGGACTTCTTGAGGATATACAATTTTTTCAGATGTACAAGAGATTCTGGAGTTTATGCAGGGATTCTTCCTAGAAGCAGTTCGTTCTGTACAGCTGTATTTACATGTGGGCGCCGAACTGCGACACACGAACAGGCAGGCATACTCCAAATCTCCGCCGTTGTTTGCACCCATGGGCAGATAAGGCTAGACTGTCCTCCCGAAATACTGCATTTGAACGCTGGCCTTCTCACCACTGGAGGTGAGAAAAAAATGCGCACTTGGCATCGCGTGTTGTGGGCTTTGAAGAAGAACTAGGCTGTCCCATAGTTACGCAAGGCGAGGCCTACATGAAACAGTAGGCGCATCAGCATCATTATCTGCCGTCTTCGTGTACAGATGCAGTGCTTCTTGGTTGGGCTCGTTAGGCTAGTAAAGCGAACGAGAAGGATAATGCGGTACTTTGAGAACAGTTGGTAGTTCGCCGTACAAACGCTCTAGATGGCAATGGGAAGGGTGCACAGAGCGTGGTGGACGGGGGAATCAACCGTCAGGTCAGCACGCAGCCAGTTCTAGCATCACATTGCAAGTGAAGTAGCCTCGAAACACGGGATGTACCGTTGGTGCTGCCTTCAATTTCATCTAGGGTTCCGGGGATGTCAGCGGGTACTGAGCCTTGGGAGTTTTTGGCCCTGGCTTAGAATGCCGACCCGGCAGATGCCCTTGTTTCCAGATTACGAATACCCAAGTAGAATGTTTTCTGCTACTAAAACAGGTACATAATTCATGGGCGACTACGTCTCAACTGGCTAACGAAGCGCATGGCCCCTAGCTGGCAGCTGCAAAACTAGCAATCAGACTTCGGGACAGCTGATGCTGGGACATTCTAATGGGTTGATGGGCCTACCTAGTAGACAGTCCTCTCTGAAACGTAGGTCATCCCAGCTGGCCGCATAGCGCAGAAAAACTCAGGGGATCTGTAGGTCTTACTCCCTTGTTCCTTTCCTACTGATGTGGGGCTGGTGAGTGAACGCGTCTGTACGCCTCCTCATCAGGAATTAAATTGTTTACAAAAAATGATGCGGAGTTTATCTGTCCAAACGAACTCAGGCCCGCCTGTGCACGGAGCTGAGCCTGAATACCAGGTGGCAACTGTCGAAAACATTCAAACTAGCTACTTTCGTATGCTGCCATGTCAAGTGGCATGGGCTATTAAACATGTCACGGACACCAGAATTGTAGAGCTAAAGAGGAGCACCACTCTTTGTTGAGCAAAAGGTCATTTGCTGGGACGGAAGAAGCCGCTGAGCATGGAGTGCATATTTCTGGACGCAAGTTCATGCAGCTTGCATGTGCCACTAATACTCATGAACGAGCACAAAGACACTGCGAAGGCACCGTTTGAAGCCGTGTACATACTGCACGACTGCAGTGCGCTTGGACTCTCGTGATCTGCTATTTCCACGAATGTAAAAGAAAAACGGTGGTTTTCCGGAAGCAACAACATAAAGGTAATACTTATTCGGAACTCCTGATTGGTACAACCTAACCATGCGACATCACCTATACAGTTAGCACCCCGCAGTGATCCTCTAGCGACGATGCATGACCTTTGCGCAATCGTATTGCCAATCACACTGACTGAGGCTTTGGAGGCGTCGGACTCTGCCTGCAGGACGTGACTCACGACGGCCCTAGGAAAGAGACTAAAGTATGTGGTGGGCAAAGCATGCTTACGATGCATGCTTTTCCGTCAGCTCGAGACCTCTGGCTTGTTGGTTGTGCCGTGGTTGGCTTCTGCTTCTCCCCGTTCTTCCCTCGACTCTCTAGCCAGTCGTGCCTCGTGAATTATCCTCTGTTTCTCCTCAGCAGACGGCTGAGGGGCTTTTAAATACAAGCATCCGTTTGCAGGGACATCTAACCACAAGCAATACGGCCAACCCAATCTGAAAACAGAAACACGATAATGAAAGGTAACACCCGCCATGAGGTGCAACGAGTTGGTCTCGCAGGCACCTTACGATATGCCAGGGCCCTTCGTGACAAACGCCACTAGAAGCAAACCTTGAAGTCCCGCAGCATGCACAACTTGTAAAATCAGGCTCATTCGTCACACGAGATGCATGTTTTGACACGTGTAGGTGCGTGCTGCTGTGCATGTCCAGCCTAAAAAACAGTCATGGAGTTTTACAATAAACTCACCTGCCTCCCTGAGTTGTGTGGATATATGAACCATTCCCCATGCCACACATTCCCCCCGCGTATTTCCAATCATCGGAATTCAGCATCAGCTGCCACTCTCCTCCGTGAGGAACTCCCACGGGGTACCTGAAAAACGAGCACAAGGAAATTCCCACGTCTCGCTCTGTCGTCCCTCATGCCAGCCAGCATTCATGTCACCTTTGGTGTGCAGGGTGCACAACGTACCTGTACAATACAGGCCTCTATCATAAACAAGACATACTTTATGTATGAGGTATGGGTAGAACACACAAGCAGACTCATGCATAGCAAGTTGATTATCTGTAAACACCGTGTGAATCGAAGGAGTTCTCTGCAACAGGCCGACTAACCTGTAGTACGCTTGGGGAGAAAAATTGCAAACAACCAGAATATCATTGAACCAGAATTCGTACGAGCGGAGAAATGCTACGATGCAATCATTATTGTTGTCGCAGTCCGTCCACTTAAAGTTCCAGGTCTCATCATCTCCTGCATGCAATGCCAGCTGAGTTCTGTAGAGACCCAGAAGGTCTGACACCCAGATGCAAAGTTTCTTACGGAGCTCCTCCTCTCCTTCGTGCCAGTCGACAGACCTGACATTCGATCGCAAAAAGTATGCAACCATGGGGAAAACTAAGTGCAGCACATCACCAAAAGCACCAACAGGAGTTCACGATGCCTGCACTCAGGGGGATGCACAGGTCGAAGGCATGACAGGCTACCTCACACAGACGTATGTTCCAAAGTTTTTCACGGCGAAAGGGACAGCGGCGACGAACAGGAGAGCGTACCTGTTGTCCTTCCACTCTCTCCCTTGTCCAATCTCCCCCCCCATGAAGATGAGGGGTCTACCTGGCATTCCTATCTGAAAGCCGTAGAGAGTCTTCAAAGTACGTATGCGATCCTCAAAAGGAGTTCCCAAGTATCCGCACTTGTCTAGCAGGCTCCCCTTTCCACTCACTACTTCATCGTGTGACAGTGGTAGAATCCACCTACAGGACCACAGGAGATAAAAACCAGCAATTCGCGGGAAGGGTATCATCTGTGGGTGAGAGGCTACTTCTACTTCTAATTCATAGCAACATGATAGGATGTTTTAGAAGTGTTGAATACCTCTCGTGCGCCATGTAGAGACCTCTGAATGTGAGTTTGTTGTGGCATTTCCGTCGATTCTCCACAGGGCAGCACAAATAGGATAGCGTGTCGTTCATCCACCCCAAATCCCACTTTGCGTCGAACCCGAGACCTGCGAGACAACGACGATATCGAGCATAACACCAAAACTGGATTTATGGCACAGCAATGCGCATTAAAGTGTAAACTTAAAAGGCTGTTGGTGAGAGCTGCCAAAGAAGCCCTATGAAGCGTCCCCTGTTTAGGGAGAGTCCCCGATAATGCTATAGCTTTCCCCATGTAGGATATGGGTGCGATGAGATCTCACCGTTTGCTTTGTCTGTAACTCCTCTCCAGCTGGTACTCTCTTCCGCCATCGTAAATACCCCTGGAAACTCTTTATGTACGACCCAATTTAGTTCTTGAAGCAGGGATATGGCTTGCAAGTTTGCGTCGCCCCCGTGCTCATTTGGAAGCCAATCCCCATCCTCTTTCTGGTGATTTTTGTACAGCATGGAGGACACCGCGTCAATGCGCAAGCCATCAATGTGGTAGCGCCTCAGCCAGTGATATGCCGCTCCCAATAAGAACGACCGAACCTCGTTGCGGCGGTAATTAAACACTGAACAACAATCGGAGAAACGAGGCAAGACAACCGTAGCGGGCCGCATGCTCACCACAGGTAACAAACCACAACCGCAATTGTCACCTCTCCCCGCCGAATACAACGAAACCGACTTCAAGTAGAAACACTACATCGGGGGGGTTGTAACTATGCAGAAACTCCACGTTCAACTCAGAACCTGCACCTGAGGTGCCTCAGAGGACAGTTTTCCGTGGGTCACCCGCCGTGCTGCTCACCTGCTGTCCCCCAAAGTTTGTGCTCCCCCTCTCTTGGGTCTGCGTACTCGTAGCACGGCTCCCCGTCATAGTACACAAGGCCCCATGAGTCCTTACAAAAGTGTGCAGGCACGAAATCAATGAATACTCCAATGTTTGCCTGATGCAAGGTGTCGACCAAATACTTGAAGTCGTCTGGGGTCCCCAATCGGCTGTAAGGCGCATAAAGACCCGTTACCTGCTCAAACACTCCAAGTAGAAAAACTGAAGTGCACGGTTTGACAGGACAGGAAGAGTGAAATAGTGCAATGGTTAATGCATAGTTTAGAATGTGTCTAAGTTCCGGCGAACTGCAGATGCAAAACCAGGTAAACTCCGGGGCAAAGTCGCGCAAACAGCTCATGCAACCTTAGTAGCGGCAAAGGGCATACTTGGTATCCCCAGGAACCTTCGAAAGGGTGGTGCGCTAGGGGAAGGAACTCCACATGTGTAAAATTCATGTTCTTCAGGTGGGGAACCAGCCTATCAGCCAATTCTCGGTAGCCTACGCACGCAAAAGAGTCAAGTATTCACAGGTCTCGATCCGCCGAGGTAACAGATGTCTCTCTGCCAAGGGGTAGGACTCTCTCCGTGGAAGAAGCACTCTACAACCCTGTGACCACTAATAAGCAGCCAACCCGCATACCCACAGATGCCTCAAGGAGTCGCCTATGACATACTTAGATAACGCCCATCTTGCCCGCGCATCCAGCTCGGAAGATGCACTTCGTAGATGGCCATCGGCTCTCTATGGAGTTGGTCTGTTTCTCCAAGCTTCTTGCGTTTTTCCATCCACTCCTGGTCATGCCATTGATAGCGCGCCTCAGCCTGATCGCAGCGGCATCGGGCAAGCTCCAAACCCGGCAGTATAAACGCCGAAGCTTAAAATCAGCAAGCTAGTGCTTCACATCGTCCCGACAGGACCGCAGCCCCCCAGCCCACACCCCGACTCCCCACGGAATCGAAACCATCGCATTATAAAACTGAAACACGTTCATAAGTACTTGTCTCATGGTTGACCGAACCCGTTTAAACCACTAGTACTAATATGGGTTAACAGCTAGGGGCCAAAACTTTAACGGCACAATTTCGAAGCAGCCACAAGAGGTAAGGTAAGCAAATGTCTGTCAAGGCGAGGTAGAGGTACGTTTTTGAAGGCGTCGTCGCAGCCGCTGATGATGCTGGCGGTCTTAGGAGGCACTTCAAATTCTTGAGCATAGGGGTCTATCTTAATGAAGTCCGTCCCGTTTTTCGCGTGTATCCTGTAACCGTACTTTTCCCCTGGGCCTATTCCTGGAATAAACAAGTCCCAACAGCCAAACTCTACCCGCTTGCGCATGGGGTGGGCGCGACCGTCCCATCCGTTCCAGTCCCCTACCACGGAGACGCAAATGCAGTTCGGTGCCCAGACAGCAAAACGAACGCCAGCAACACCGTCAACTGTTATGATGTGCGAGCCCATAAGGTTGTCCACATGCCAGCAGGAACCTGATTACAGGTGCAGAACGCACAAGGAAAAAATGAGATTGTGAATTACAGGCACACAAATGGCCCAAACAAGAAGAGCACCCGAAAGGAAAAAAAAGCAGCGCATGCCTGAGAAGGAAATGAAGCTAGGAAGGAGAATATACAGTGAGAGAGAAAAATATATCCAGCCAACACAAACAGTGCTCCCATGCGCCCGATTCTACCAATCCACTCTAGTCAAAACATGCCCTTCCTCCTTGCAAAACAGAACAGCAGTGGAAGGAGCAACGGCCGCAGCAATAGCAAGGATCGATTGCAGAAGAAATGCCAATAAGCCACCATATTGAGAACAACTCAAAACGAACTGCACAACCTCACCGGACTGGAACAATTCCAAATTGTACTGGGGGACGGTCATGCCGAACGAGTAGGTGTCATACACCACACGTGGGAACTCTTCGCCCTCTCCCCGCACCAAAAGCTCGTAATCCAGGGGTACGTAGGCGTCGGAACTCTTCACTGCCGGACCTCTAGACGAGGCTGAAGGGTGAGTTGTGTATATCTCAAAGGCCTGTGCGAACACTCGAAGCAAACGGAGATATATGCGCCACAGTGAGAATGACAACACTGACTCTAGCAAGCGCACGCGCAGCACCGCAAAGAAGACATTAGGACTTTAGTGTTGGGTTTTTTTCGTGCTTGCCTTGTGAAAGAGAAACTCCCCTTTTCTCTCAAGCTGAACAGATTCTAAAGGAGGTGGAAGTCGCCAGTCTGAGACTCCTGCTCTTGGCCTGAGCTCAACATGGTTCACGTTCTTGAGCCATACACGGACAACCACCATCCTGTTGTCTGTGTCTTGAGACTCCACAAGATGGCACCCTAGCATCCTGAACGGGTCCGCGTGCCTCGCAAGGTTCAGCAAATGCATGTCATATTCCGGGATGTCTGCATTTGGCGGCATGGTGTCAATTGGAACGGCCATAAAGTGAGTCTGGTCGTGACGCTGTGCCTTCTCCACATGGTCCACCTTCGCCACGTCATTCATATTCGTATTGGGTTGCTCTTTTGGGCCAGGCGTGGGCACATAGCCGGTCGGACATGCCGTTGTTCTCTTGGAGGAGGCAACTCCGCCGGTGCCATCATGTTTGGTTTGCTGTCCATGAGATGTGCCATTCGCGCGGAGGTCCCCTGCAGCTTCGCCTTCCTGCACTGTTGAACATGATTTATACACCTTTCCTGCTGAATCTGGCGTGGCTGCAGGGTCGGAGAGACGGACTGCGTCAACCAAACGACCAGGCAGCGCTTCCATCGTCGTCGAGTCCCGAGTCTCCGTCCCTTCTGGGTCCTGTGAAGGGTGCTGAAATGAGGATAATGGGGTCAAAGACTTTGTGTGGCATGCGCTATCTTCCTTAGGGTTGTTCCTAACCCCTATATCGTGTGCCTGAGTGTGCGCACTGTCTGCCATCTCCGACGCGAGCGCTGGGGACGTGCCAGGGGATGGCTGCGATGGTAAGGGAGGAAGCGTGGTACTCCTTTAGTTGCTCCAGATGTATGTGTTGCCCAACTCCTCACTAACGAAAACGAAATCAACACGAAAATGCAAAAGAGCAGGAGTCCAGTCCTACAAAGCCGGCGGAAGAAACTCTTCCTGCCAACGAGGGCGGGGCTAACCCACGGATACCACTTATATATTTTCACTCCCTATATAAATTACTACGTAGCCTAATTGCTCCTCAAACACTTCAAGGTTCACTACCAGGCGCCCCGAAGACACGAGCAGCCACTGAGCGGCGGATGACCCACGGGGGTCGTCAATCCGCCTTTGGCAGTGAAAAGCGATGGAATGGGGGCCGGAATACGAAGCATAAAGATATTTAACTGTTGCGTAAACGAACTAGAAAGTAAAAGGGCAGCAAGTCTGAAGAAGAACACTGGCCTTCACCTGATGCATGGTGGCCAGCTTCCTATCGCGCGACATCAGGAACTTCCTGCTCCGTGATGTGACAACCCGCCTCAGTCATTGTTTGGCTTTTCCTCCATTCGCCAAGTAGAAAATTGAATATAAAAGGCCATTTAACCCGTTTGCCTATACTGTGTGTGTCGTAGTGTGTGAGGCGCTTCAGTCCTCCGGTCCATGCACAGACGATGAAGGCGGAGTCATGCCCGTCAATCTCACTCTATCCCTTTCTCTGTTCCCGTTGCATTCCTGCGCAATATCCGCCTTTCCAGGTTTCCCCACCACGTTTAGTACATTTTACAAAAGGAGCGTTGTGTGCAAACAGGTGGTGGTGGCCTAAAAGACGATTTCACTGCAGTAGTTCTGTAAACCGGGGGTCTTAGCTTGTGACGGCGTCGCTACTACTGCTGGGTGGCTAGTTGTTTGCCCTTTTGCTTTGTAGTGTCTTACTGGGCACGTGGAGTGGTATCAATTCTTCTGGATCACACATACTGCCGCTCTACTGACGTTGGTTCCGTACGCTTCTTATTGTTTTGCCCAAATCCATGGATGTACTTGGATGTGGGCCTGCACTCTCTGGATGGCGGTGAAATACTACGGAGAGTAAAGAGGGAAAAGGGTATATATTAGCAGAAAGCCGCGTACGTCCAGGATCTGATTCATCGGTTGGAGGAATGGGTACGGGGCGCTGTATAGACTAGTTGACTGTGGTGCATTTATTGCTTGTTGCGAGGCCGGGTGGTTACTGCGGGCGACGTAGACGCCTAGCAATTGTCTACAGCGTTATAGCATTTGTTGTAGGGGGGCTTGGGAACTCTATCACGTGGGTTGGCCTAAATACCTGACACAGGTGCAGTTGATGTGAGGACACCTGCAACTTCTGGTAGGTCTTACCCACTTTGCAACAGCTCTAAGACTTTCTATTGGTGTGCCCAGGATGCCTAAATACTATAGGGGAGGTCAGCAGCTTTGGGGTGACGCTTGCCTGCAGTAGTTGGACTCCAGTGAAGCTCATGGTGCTCACCGGCTAAAACTCCTGAGTGTCATGAGCTACAGTGGGGCCAAAATGCTTAAGAACATTTCTCATTTGGGCACTCAGGGTGGCTACAATGAACTGTCAAACCACCTACCAGAACCGACCGAAGCGTATCTACTGGTTGGTCTTGAGTTTGTGGATCACATCAAAAACAGGTGGATGCTTCGACAGGTAGCATGCATTGATGGGGTCGGCAGGAATGCCGGGGAACAGCTGGAGAGCCTGGGGCGCGTGCTACTAGGGGGGTATCATGCAGAAGATAGCCTTCGCACGGATTAGCTTTGCAACAGATGTGGACCAAGGTTAGTCAGTGCTCAAAGCAGTTCGGAGATGACCATTCGCATTGTACACTTTTACAAACGCCCAATATATATATATATATATAAATATATATATATATATAT